TTCACATACGACCATAGGATCATGAAAATTAGGCTTCCCGTCCGCTCAGCCATATACAAGCATGATACCGGCGGATTAGTAGTTAGGTGGGTGACCACTAGCGAATCCCCGCTGTTGTATGTTTTCGACCTTCTTTTTGCCCTTCCAAAATCCATAGTCGCGGTCTCCCTCGTGCGAAACCCACACAGAACGCGCAGGACGATGGCGCGCTTCACTGCTGTGCGCTTCTTTTTGCTCATAGTCCAGAGATGTAGCTAGCCATGGCTCTACGGAACGTGTTCAACGCTTACGCAACGAACAGCAAAGCAGCGAAGACGATATTCTAGGCTGTTGTCGCAGGCGCAAACTGACGATCTGTAATTAGCTTTACATGAACAGGTGCGGTTCGCCCGCCTTGAACCTCCAGTTCGAAAGGTAATCCTCATAGATCCCCAGCATCTCCGGCTTCCAACCAAGAGTCTTGTAAGCGCGAACAGCTTTAGACCGCGCACTGGAGCCGTAACCAATTTTACTGATTGGATCAATCTTCATCGCCTCCTCTGCGCTGAGGTAGTCAACATCAGGCGCATCCAGTAGCCCTCTATCGAAAGCTGCTTTGCTAATAGCTTGCGCAAATTCGCCCCAGACCATCTCGCCGCTTTCCACAAAGTGGTACGAGTTCACACCTCCCCATGTTGCGGCGCCACCGCCCTGCGCGGCTGCTTCCGTGGCCTTGACGAAGAAGTTCGCTAGATCGGTAATGTGTAACGTGTTCACGATTGCCTTGCCGTTGCCGACTGCAAAGCCCTTTCCGCGATCTAAGATGGAGTTCACGTATTGCCGTGCTGCGCTACGCTCCTGCGTGTCCTTGGCGTGGCTCATGCCGTATATGATCGGTGGGCAGACGATCATGGTCTTGATGTGCGGCGCTTTGCGGTCGAGCGCCAGGATCATGGTGTCGATGTTCACGTGTGGCGCTTCGGGAGGGAGCGTTAGGAGGTCAGTTGCATTGTCCCAGTCGTCGTAGACCTTGGTGGCAGCCTGGCCGTAGGTCTCCGTCCTGGCAACTTCACCGGTGAGTATACCGCAGCCTGAGGTGTGGATGAGATAGCAGGTGGATTTGTTCTTCTTCATGCCGTCGATGATTGACTTAGTCAACGGCTCGTAGTCGCTACTGCCCCAGTTTATGACTATGTCTGCAGTAGCTGCCGCAGAGGAGATGACATCGTGACTGTCGAAGTCTCCGATGACGAATCGTGTTCCTTGGGGCAGGAATTGCTTCACACTCTCTTCTTTCGTCTGGCTGCGAAGGAGGACCGTCCATTCGTAGTCCGGGTGCGCTGCTGCGATCGCGCGAGCGCTTGCATTGCCAACCCATCCAGTAACCCCAATTCTGTAGGGTTAACGCAAAGGTTAGCGAGTTTCTTTCGAATGATATCGAAAGAAAGCTTACGCGAAAATCTTCACCATGTTGAAAGCTGTTGTATAAGAGGATTGTATATCAATAGCATTCGGCCCGAAACAGGATCTTCTCGAGTATAACAGACGATATCTGTTTATATTTCCTCTTGCTGATTACCCCATGTATGGGATTGTGATGTCGTCCGGGCACGGACACCGTCGATTTTCGTCCGGAGTTCGAGCTAGTGGCGCAGTCAACGTGATTGCTGCGCAACACATGTCCGTAGCTCCTAGAGCTACAAACGCATGCTCATAGCGCGAAGCTGCCTGACCCGTCCCCACGCATGTGATGCCGCTTACCCGACTAGGGGCTTGATTACAAATACAAGAGAGTGATGCGGGCGTAGAGGCGAAGTAGAGATGCATTCTCGTCTATCGATCGACCGTGATCAACCAAGGATGATCTTCGTCAGCGGAGTACAACTTGCATCCCATATCGCCTTCGGTACGCGTCCTGCTGCACGCCGGTATGCTACTCCTTCCTCGCGTTCAACCCATAGCACGTTGTAGAAGTGGTACTCCCGTCCATCTGGGCCTTCTTCACCATACAACTCCATCTCTTTCTTGGCTTCTAGTGGTTGATTAGCTCGGCATCGCTTGGGATAGAAGCAGGCTTGTTGTACTGACCCAGGTATTCGGAAGTCTCTGCATACACCGGACCACTGCCCACAAATGCCTCCATCACAAATCTATACAGCTTATCCTCTTCGTCACCTTCAACACCGGTGGAGTTGACAGTTCCTGTAGATACGGCTATGAGCTCCACGGTATCGCCTAGCTCGAGTTTAGCCTTCTCCATATGCCGCAGCGTACCGGCTGTGAGCCCTTCCTGGGTTTCAAGACAGACTAGGTCGCATGTGTTGTCTAGTGTTGGCGCTTTCGCGAATTGTGGAAGCTTAAATATCGACGGCCATCCACCAACCCTCCTTAGTTTTGCTCCTCGTCCCGGAGAGGAATAATGCACAGCGCCAATGTATAATGACATGCATGATGTCTGACACGAAAGGAAAGGCCAGGAGTCGTGAGGATGGAAAATGCATTGCGGATTCGCAGCATGCGGGGTGGTACTGAGATGGGGTGACGGGATTGTTTCTTCAGCAGCTGAGGAAATGGTGTCCGCAGTTCCTTCGGTCGCGCGACAGTCATCGTTCATATGAATCGCTCGTTTATTTGAGAGCTTGTCGTCTTTGATGTCGATGCACGCTCTATCTAGGGAGAACAATGGGCCATCTGCTGGTACTTGGCAATGCATATCTTCGGGTAGACAGTACCACTGTACGAGCTTTTGCGTTCTCCAGACCGGCATTTCAGAGGTGAGATTGTTGTAACTGAAGTATGAGGACCGTGTCCGGAGATGATACGGGTCAACAGGACAGGTCCAGCCGCACCATGACCATGAAGGCAGATGCGTTTTCGGCGCTATGATACCTGTGGCTTCATCTTCTCTTACTCTGCGACGTGTTCTGCGGAAGGGTTGCCATAAGAGTGCGATGTCCAAATGTACGCGAGGTAAACCATACTGAAATCCGGAAGGAAAGTTAGGTGCGAGGGTTGTCAAAATACCAGAAAAGGCTGGTAAAACATCTTGGGGGTATGTAAACACACGACTGTTGTAAAGACCGATCATCTCTGTGTACAAGTCGAAGTCAGGGTAACAGCTGGACAGCATACGGCTAGCCTTCTCATAGTGTGGGACTGTAAAGGTAGCACTTTTGGTCCCAGTCATTTCCGGCGTTTGTTCGTCTGGGCTCCAAACATCTTGCTGACATTCCCAAAACATGTAGCGGTCGGTAAATACAATAGCTCTTTTTGAGAGCATCTGCTCCTGGAAGGTCCAGCCACGGGTAGCCCATTTGGAACTGTAGAGTTTGTCGAACATATGTTCTACCTCGTCATCTCCTCTAGCTCCAACCCAAGAGCTAGAGAGCTGGCCGCGATGAGTTGCCGCTATGATAGTAAAATGTGCACCAGAGTATATATCGCCCATATGATCCACTTGCTCTCTTGTCTTTTCGTCGTCTTGGACGATGCATAAACAGTCGACCCACAGGTAAATCTCTTTGAGCCTGCGGACTAACAGTATGGCGTCCTTGACGGCGGTGGGGAGTCGCGACCATACGTGTTTCAGGTGACCAGGTGTTTGGAAAGCTGATAGATTGAGCTTCTTCAACAAGATACTGTCAGTTGAACGCTTTTTATCCCTGGCGTTGAAAGACTTTTGTGACCATACGTAGCTCAAGGCAACGTAACGCGGTACAGTATTCCCAGGGACTAAGCACTCCCGGCCGACGTCGATAACCCAATGCGGCAATTGCTGAGGTGACTTGTGCTTGAGAGATGCTGGCTTACATTGTGTTCCGTGTTGGGCGTCGCATGAATTTATCCAATGAGTGATGTATCGAGAGTCGACGTCGCCGGAGCCCTTGCTTGGCCTCAGGTCTTCATCAAGTTTGCCACTGCTGAGCAGAAAATTCTGCATCTTATCGTTGTGAGATGGCGCAGTCCACAAGAGAGGTGTTATGCCGAGCGAGTTCTTAGAATTCGCACCCACTCTACCAGTACTGAGTAACATCTCGGCAATTTTTATCGACCCGTCCCCATCTCGCGAGACCCACGCTAAAGGTGTAAGACCAAGTGCATCTTTTGCGTCAGGGTCAACTCTTCCGCTAGCAAGCAACAATTCTACGATGCCCTCCATCGCTGTTATGGTCGCAGGTATTACAAAGCCTTCCCCCGTTATCGTAGCGGATAGTGAGATGCCACTTCGACCCATCACTGCGGCAAATAGTGGTGTTCGGCCGTTGTCATCTTTCGCATCGGGGTCCACTTTATCGCTGTCTAGCAATAGCTCAACGACAGCCTTGTAGCCTCGCGAGACAGCTTCCCACAATGGAGTTCGACCTTTGTTGTCGCGTATATTGACGTTGACTTCCTCTTTCTCAACTAACAGTTTGACAACAACTTCTGAGCGAGAGTGCACCGCGCTGTGCAGTAGAGAGTAGCCATGTTCTTCCTGCAGATTTGGGTCGACTCCGTGATATTTGAACAGTACTTTCAACGATGCAGTATTTCCGCTGCTTACATCTCCTGATAACCGTGGCCATCCTTTGTCGTACTCTGGCACCTCAATTTGTAATTGTAACATCGTTCGGTCTTTCGTCTATCGTTCAAAATGTTGAAACGCGCGCCAAGTTGTCGTAAAACTGGCTTTTGGTATTAGTAGAAGGGTTGCAGAGCCATGCGAATCAGAGTGTCATGGACATTTAGCGCGCGAATGCTCTCCGTCTGCCAGAGGCTTTGCAGTCTTTATACGCGAGACCAGTGCTGACATGCAGCCCAAGGCCCGTCGCACACCGAGTTTTGCCGACACTACCGTTTAAAGAAGGAGACATTGCCTATCCCAGCAATGCTGCCTATCTGAACCAATTCAGCCGCGACTGCGCCACTGCGAGGCTGACAGTGAGCTTAAGGCGGGGTCACAGCCTCCATATGACGGACTACAAATCCTACGTCGCACGAAGGGACTTGGTGTCGTCGCTCACCCCATCAGACTGACCATCTTACCTCTTCCTCTTCTTAGCCTTCTCCTCCTGCTCCTTCTTCATGTCCCTCCTTTCCCGTCTCTCCACTGCGCCCCATTGATCAACTCCCCACTTGACATACTCTTCCAGAAAAGGCTTAAGCCCACCCCAAATTCTCTCCTCATACGCGGAGTGCTGAAACTCGATGCATAGCCACTCCAACGCCCTGAGCTGATCTATACCACCATAAAGATCCAAAGCTGCACGCTCATAAACTCTCTTGTTTCCCTCGTTTGCTTCCGCGTACACCTTCTCGAATTTCGCGACGATGGGTTTGACCGACGCAGGTGGTATAAGTGTAACGTTGCCTTCACCATCGCCAGTGCCGATGGTGAAGCACGCGTAGTCGCCTAGTTCGATCTCGTCGAAGTCTCTATCGCTGCCATGAAGGAGGTGGCCGTTGTTTTCGTTGGGGAACAGAGTATAGTCCATGTCATGCATCCAGCTTCCTGATGTATTGACTTCGTCCGTGCTGTAGAAGATATCCTCATCGATGCCGTTGCTCGCACGTAGAAAGTCTCTGTAGTCATCAGGAAGCTTTCCGCCGGGGAGCGCGACGAACGAATGCTCGTCGGGTGAGGAGAGGCGATTTTCGAGGGCGGCAATCTGAGCTTCCGTTGCGCCGTCCTTGAGAACAGTGGGTATTGTATCTTCACTGCTATCTTCGCGTTCGGTGAGGATGTTTTTGTCAACCATCTTTACAAGTTCGGCCATCGTTTTGGATCGATACGGTCGAGCGGGGCCTTCGGTAGAACGCTTCTCGATGAGGGCGCAACCTTCTTTGACATATTCATCCACGTCAGATGCACGCACACCGAATGTATCCCCGAGCTTAACAGACGCGAGAACGGGCCAGATGCCTGGGCAATCCTCCAAGCCTTGGCGACGAAAGATGTAGTGCCTGGTCTCGTCACCGCTTCTATCTGGGTTGTCCCAATTATCCAGCAAGTACTGATATAGTTCTTTTATGTTATCTTCGACCAGACTGGTAGCTAGACGATGCTCGTCCGCAAGTAACGCAATCTGTGTCACCGCACCGAGCGTCATGGTTTCCCCGGCATGCCTGTAGGTAGCATCCGGCTTCATATTTAGGCGCTCGCGTACGGTTTCCACATCTTCTTTACTGAGCGTCCCTTCCTCAGCTTTCGTTGCGATGTTGTTCGGTAAACCCGCGGTGCTGATGCTATCCGCATTCGCGTCGTCTGCTCTGCGGGCCCATGTTGGGAAAGTGTCGCTAGTTGTCCATGCTCCTTGCAACTGCTCTTCGGTAGTGTGACCGTAGTAGTCCCAGGTTGTTGTGTCAAGACCGTACTTTTGGATTGACTCGAGAAGTTTGTTGGCTTGGTGGGGAAATCCAAGAACGAACAGGTCCAGAGCTGCGTGCTGCGCTATCCTCGACGAGTTCAAATGCATGCGACAATTAAGAATGGAGGTCTTGGACCAGGGTATGAGAGGCAGGGCGCGTGCCATGATGTCGAAAGCGGCGTCCTAGGTGCTGCTGTGGGAGAGGACGAAGTGGCATTTTAGACCTGGGTTACATTTTTGAAGACCTTTGAAGCTGCTAGCCGTAGATGTCACTATGTGCCGGTATCGTGGTGTTTTGAGATTAGCTGCCAGGCTGCAAGCAGCATCCGAGGTGCGATGACATCATGCCCGGACTAGCCAAGGCAACACCAGTGAGGCCTTCAACATGACCGCGACTGTTTCCGACGCGATGCCATAAAGTGATTGAACCTATACTCATGCCATAGTATGTCAACCTTTCCTAAGGCCCTCGATGCGCGACACGTTGATGGACCGCGTCGTCAGGTGACATCCACGGATGCTCGGCCTCGGGGGACTCTGGAAGGTACCCCGAAGTGCGCAAGCGAGCCTCGCGCGGTCTAGACGATGCGCGCAGATCAGTAAAACTAATGCCAGGGACGTGTAGGCGACACTACTAGTCGTATGAACGAGGTCGAAAGGAACGAACATTGTCGCTGCGTCCTCCGTCAGCAAAGCCACCGGATTGTGGCACAGCCGCGCGATTTAATCAACTGCCGCCTGGGCAAACTGTGCCAATGTCGGAGGTTCCGTCGATCCTGCAGAATTGAGGTTTCCGCTCGCGTAGACATTACAGTTTTTCGTACGGAAAAGCGTCGCCACACATCACATGACGTGCTGAGAAATCAGGGTCAGCTCTGGCTGGCTCCAAAACTTCGGCCCGTGGAGGTGGCGCGGCGGCTCTTGTGGATCTGGTGGGGTCGGTCTTAGGGTCCGATCCACAACTCAACAGCGTTGGATTCGTCCGTTCGCCATGCTTTCATAAACCTTGAACTACGCAATCTTGACCGGTCTTCAATCAAGTGTAATGGCGACCATGCAATCGCTGAAAGACAGTCGCGCGACGACGTCCTGTACTGAGTGTCAACGGAGGAAGCAAAAGGTGACGACACTCCACATTGGCCCTGCGTCTACCCCTTGAACTAATGACGCGGCTAGTGCTCGCGAGAATGGCCCTGTAATCACTGTCAGGCACGAAAAGTACCCCATCTTTGTCAATTCTCTGTCAAAAGAGGGCAGCAGGAGCCTTCTCCAGAGTCGTCTCGGTATGTAGATCGTCCTGCCTACCCCGCCATTAGCGGAACGCGGTAGTAACAGCGATTGCGCAGTGAAAATTCGGCATCCAGCATCAAAGGCACAAAACGAAGCGCTCCTGACTCTGCAGAGCCGCAATTCCTGTCGCAAGATGGCGAACAAGAAGAGCTTGAAGATGGGCTGAAAGCGTGGGGGTACATGCCTGGTCATGTGCACTACAAAGTAGGCGGGGTGGAAGAGGTAAGAGCATTTCGCAAAACATTGATATCAACTAACGCGTTCAAGAACGGTCCGCGGAAAGACTCACCGACAGAAAGCTCCGTCACGACGGATGTTCTCGAGAAAGTTCTTTCAGCCGTGCCACCAAGATCAATAACGGGTAGGCACAAACATCGCGAGATTTTAGCGATCCATTCTCTAACCACGAGCAGATGCGTTCGTCAACCACTTCCTCAATGTCGTCAACTACCGCTACACTGCAATATACGGGCCAACATTAGCCGAACAGTACGTCCAATGGTGGGCAGATCGCGGTGCCGGCAAGCAACTTTCTCCAGAATTTACCTGCCTGCTCTTAAGAATCTGCGCGTACTCAGTGCAGTACCTCACACCCGCACTTCGCAAAATGATCGAGTTTGAGCTGGCTTGCAATTGCCAGACTCTGACAGACCGATTCTCTGACGCAGCGGAAGAATTGAGCCGGAGCTTTGGAGCAGCGAGAACGAGCGTTGAACGCGTGCAAGAGCTGTTTTTGAAGTGCGTTTGGTTGAAGGCCGAGTCCAAGATCGTGGAGTCGTGGCATGCGCTTTCGCGCACGATCCGGGAAGCGCAAGAGCTGGGTATCGATAAGGATGGAGGTATCGAAGGCCTGTGCGAGTTCGACATAGAGATCAGGAGACGTCTCTGGACGTTGCTGTACATCTGGGACTGGTAAGTTCAAACCTTCGCATTCTAAGAGCATGACCTAATTTTCGTGCAGGCAAATGTCAGCATGGCTCGGCCGTCCAAACCTGATCGACCAAAAGAATCTCGACTTCAAGTTCCCCAATCTACGGCTCGACAAGTCGACCACGGAGCCAAACCTACTATCACCCTTCGCACACATCGCCCTTCAAGCAACCCTCGGCCGTAGGATCGCCGCTACCATGGGGAATGCCCAATCTGAACACGCCCTCTCGGACAAGCAGGTCCTGGCGATAGAAGCGGAATGCGAAAAGTTCATCGAAGAGCTACCCCCCATCTTCCGCTTCACAGACCCCGACACGTCATTCGATGAGTCCCATCCTTTCTTCGTGTTCCAACGCTGTCAGCTGCATTGCGTCATCTTCGTAACGATGCTGAACTTCTTCAAACCTTACCTGACCCGAGAACGGCGAGACGCGATAGCCGACCAGGACGACGAGTTCCGAAAGAAAGGCGTAGATATAGCGTTGCGTCTTTTGAAAGTAGCGCGCCAGCTCTTCGACCACGAGTTCCCCATCAACGCGAAGTTCCACATGGTTGTCTTTGCGATCTTCGACACGGCGACCTTACTCTGCTCGGCTATTATCCACGACCGCGAGCACCTCCTGCCTCATCGCGAAGAGATTGTGGATGCAATCGAAAGCTCGCTGGATATGCTGCATCAACTCAGCGGGACAACGAAACTAGGCGCTACATCGTACAACTTCCTCTTCAAGCTCGTGCAGGCCACACCGGAGCTTTCGCGGTACTCGTCGGCTAGCAAGCGGCAACGACAGAGTTCTTCCTCGGTACCTACAACGACGCCACCGGTTCCGGCGCATGAGCCTGCGCCCGCAGCAATCATGCCACCGGTGAAGAACACAGCGCCACCAGAGCCGACCGCTGCACCGGTACTTTCTACTGCTGGCGATCTTCCGTCGATGACGATCTCGGATGAGCTTTCGTTCGATATCGATCAGTTCCTCGCTCAAAACCCCTTTGGCACGGTCGGCGATCCGGCTGCTGTCGATATGGGTGGCATGGAGCAGATTTGGGATTGGCAGGATTTGCATATAGACGTTTACGCGCAGGGAGAGCCGGATGGCTGGAACGCTACTGGTGATGGATCGTGATGCTGCCGACGCTGGCGTTTTGACAATGGTGCGCTCTCATGCAGCATCCTATAAATCACATGCCTGGTGTCTTGGGTCATTTTTCTACGTTCATACATATTAGTTTCTTTGCCGAATACATAGTAATACCATACGTTACTCGTAGTTGTACACGCAGTAGCACTTGGAGCAATCTCGCACTCGATGCGATGTCCAAACAATGCACTCACGATTGCAAGATCCATGGATTTGGCATAAACAAAACACCAACACGAATTTCCACAGATTTAGACCTTCAGAAAAGGGCAGACGGCGCTGAAGTTAAGTGTCGCAGGGTGGCTCAACCCCGAAAACCTTCGGAGGCCCTAAGTCGCGGCGCCGCGAACATCGTCATGTGTGGCGGTGCAGGGAGACAAGCTTTTATTTAGTAACTTCATTTTCCTTTGTACGTGTTGAGGGAAAAGCAAGGATGTTATTGTTGCTATACTCACTGCAAACCACCATGCTTAACCGATGGTCTCACTAATCCCTCAACACCATGTCAACAACAGACCAGACGTTACACTCACGCAATCAGAACGGGGCTGATTTGCAACTCAGCTTCCTCGCTTTCCTTGCGGACATGGCCTCCAGCTCAGCGGCCTTGCGCTTCTCCGTGGGCCTCCTGACACGCTTCGGGCGTTGCGGCTCGTCTGTTGCCAAAGCACCAGGGGATTGCAGGACTTCCTCCTTCATGACTGGCTTGGCCGATAGTCTCAGGACCAAGCGCGGATGTGTGGCACGTCGTTCAGGCGTCGTGGGAGGCATGGTCGGAGGTGGCGGTATTCCTCCGACACCGTGGTCTCGTTCATCCGATGCCGGTGTAACAGCCTGACTCTCCGTTGCGAGAGGAGTAGCCCTCAGATCCTCCAGTCCGATCTCCGCCGTGGAAGTCGAACGCGGTGTGTCGAAATACAAAACTTCCGGTTCTTGCCCTTGAACACGTACCGCAGCAAAGCTGTTCTGAGTGCGCATCTTCCACTCACTCAACTCCATCAAGACCTTGGCTTGATTGCCTAGCTCTTTGCATTGCTTCAATGAAAGCCCCAGGAGTTCGTTGTGCTTGTCGGCCAGACCTTGGTAGTCCCTGCGTAGGATGCCATATGATGACGAGAGGTTGTCTAACTGCTCCTCTAGGTCAAGAAAAGACTGTGCGCTGCTGATCTGTAGGTTGTCGAGTTCTTGTCGAAGGGCGCGAATGCTTGATTTGGGGTCTATCGAAGACGTTCGACGGCTTCCGTGGTCTTGGTCATCGTAGACTGTGGGTGGTGTGTTGTAACGGAGACGGACGATGCTACATGATGTCAGCAGGCTACTTCCTTGATCTGGACGTCCTCAACAACGTACTAATCCGCGTCATCAGAAAAGTATTGACGGCAGCTCTCAGTAATGGACTGTTCACTGTTCGATGGAGATTCGTATCCGATGATGGGGAATTTCTTGACACCCGTGATGTATGGCTCCCAGTCGCTATCGCTGTCGGACGGCTCACATAGAGAAGAAAGGTCGATGACATCGTGTCGACACACCTCTTGGTCACAATAGTGATCATTGCGGGCTGCTGGCCATTTGGGTGTAGTTGTGATCGATCGGGATGCTGCAAAACGTTTCCGTTCCTCAAGTAGCGTGTAGAATTCATCCACGGATTCAGCGCTGGTTTTGCTGACGAGAGGTTCTGCACCGCACATCCTGGTAGCTGGTAGTAACTGATGATAGAAATGATGGTCGTGCTATTGCCGAGTGGTGTTCATGGCACTGTTGATGGAGGATGCTGGTGTATGTTACTCGAAGGAAGGCTGACCCATGATAGAGCGGATCAATGAGGAGGGCGACTACCTCGTCCAATGTCAAACGACGTTCGCCGTTGCCATTTGGGTTGAACACGCATCTCACCTCAAAGCAGCCTCGACGCAAAGCTGTGGTAGTTGAAGCGAAGAGATGGAAAGATCGAATCAAACCTTATGTATCTTTGTAAGGCTGATACTGGGAAGATGCCGACACCGGGCGCAGAGTGCGCAAACATTCCTCAGTATCATGCATGCCGTCCTGCAGCTTTGCCGGTGATGTCGCTCGAGGGATGCAGTCGGTGTCAGACTCAGGCGATACATGGTGGGAAGAACCGAAAGATTCTTGATCTTGCTGTCGCCAAGTAATATGGTACGTAGGTTACATTCGGGTAACACTACAGTACCGAGGCGATACGAGGTCAACAGAAAGGTCCTGCATCCTTGAATCGAGCATGTCGCGTGACATTGCCCGTTGTCGATGCGACTTGCTTTGGGGCAGGCCCACCCTCGCGCCTACTCGGCACGTGCTGCCAGGGAAAGTGTTGCATTCGGAGGAGACCGGTGAACTTACTGCAGTGGTTGGCAGGTGTGGAGCCGGGCAAGGGTCCAACAACCTGCCACAGTGAACGGCAGATTTCTCGTTGCAATTCGAGCGTTTCGGTCTCGGTCTTTCCAGTAGATTAGCAGTGGCAGGCCGCGCATTCAGGGAATGTCGATCTCCCATCAATGTTGGGGTCGCAAGCATCCCGCGCGTTCTGAGATATCAATCTCTGGGACGTCATGCCTGATCTGGGCATTCAACGAGAACACTCGAGCCACCCCGCTTACTGTCGGTGTGATTAACGTCTGGCGATGATTTGAGGCCGGTCTTCTTAGCCATTTCGCGTGTGCGAAGCCTGCGAAAGTAAACGTAATCGGCACGTCTTTAGTCTAGTCGCGTTTCGGCACGCGGCAAAATTCGTCGGGTCCGCCACAAGCGAACAGCCTCGCGTCGAGAGGTCAACGTCGCAGTAGCAACGACGATCTGTGCTGGTAGCCATCACTGTCAACCGATGCACCTGGTCAGTGAACTGTTGTGTTCATCGAGGGCTCACCGTGTAAGGTTCTGTCACTGCGCTCATCAGGCGCGCTGCTGCAGGCGCACCCACGCACAAGAAGAGAGAGTGCAAAGCTTACCAGACCGATGGTATTAGCTAAGGCCAAGCCCAATAGGATCGAGCGAACCACAGAGGCGACGTGGGATGATCTTTGCAGTGAACGGCAGAGGAACGTGATGGGGTCTGATGCTTGGTCCACCAAGCACTACGTCACGGCGCGCCTTAATGCCGCTACCTTGGCGCACCGTACCAACGACTCCACACCATCTGTCCGTTCCAAAAGATTTTTTGACAGGGGCGGCGCCGGGGAGAGCTGGAGTATATGAGGGGCCATGACCCTCCTTCAGGACCGAGCTCGTGTAACTCTTGTCATCAATTTCCTGCGACCCTGCTGTCGCGGAAGCTTGCCATATCCAATACACAAGCTTTTCCAAGCCTCACAAGCCTTTAGCATCCTGCTTGGGTGAAGACGCCGTGACGGTTCGACACATAAACGACAACGCCACCAGATTACAGCGCCATCGAAAACTCGACGACCCTGGACATCATCATCCCACTTGCGACTACCCCATTATCGCACCCTTCCTTACCATTGCGCCAACCCCAAGCAACAACATCACGCCCATCCTCCATCGCGGCACCACCACCATCATTACGCCAAGATGGTCCGAACTATGTTTGTGAATCCCTTCAAGGCTCATCATGTCGACGAATTCCCCGGCGTCCATGTGCCTCTTGATGACTCGACCCATCGCGCTTCTGTAGCTTCCACCCACCCACGCGCCTCCCTCGCTGCAACAGAGAAAACGACCAAAGACGACAAACCAGAAGATGGTCTCACGCGCCCTGACAGTAATGCATCTAGTGGTGTTGTTAACCATGGCTTGACAGTCGCAGCATTGAAGGCAGAGATTGAAGCAGAGGTCGCCGCTTCGGACAACGACACGCCATATGACCGTACGTCGTGTGGCTTTTCCTATCACCTCTGGTAATTGTCACGAGGAAACAGTACTGATCTTCCATAGGCAAGTCCAAGGTTATCAACAAAGCCTTGCAGGATATGGGCATGGGCCGCTACCAATGGCAGCTTTTTGCTCTTTGCGGTGGCGGTTGGATGGCCGACAACTTGTGGCTGCAGGTACGCATATCAAATTCCTCATCAACCAACAGGGCTTACCAAGATACAGGGTGTTGCTCTTACACTACCACAACTCAGCGTTGAGTTCGGTGTCAGCGAGACGGAAGTCAGATACACCACACTAGCGCTCTTCCTGGGTCTCTGCATCGGCGCTTCCTTCTGGGGTACCGCCTCTGATATTATCGGTCGTCGCCTCGCTTTCAACTTTACTCTTTTCCTCGCTGGTGTCTTTGGTCTTGCATCCGGCGGCGGGCCCAACTGGATCGGCACATGTGCACTCTACGCCTGCATTGGTCTCGGTGTCGGCGGTAACCTCCCAGTTGACGGCGCTCTGTTCCTCGAATTCCTGCCTCAAACATCAGGAAACCTCCTTACGCTTCTTTCCATCTTCTGGCCCGTGGGTAATCTGGTTGCCTCGCTCCGTAAGTCGATACCGCCAGCTATACTCATCATTGACTAACGACCTGCAGTGGCATGGGCATTCATTCCCAACTTCTCATGCGCTGACGGTACTCCCATCGGACAATGCCGCATGGAAGACAACATGGGCTGGCGATACCTCATCCTAACTCTCGGCGCCATCACATTCTTCATGTTCATCTGCCGCTTCTTCCTTTTCCATCTTTACGAGTCACCCAAGTTCCTGTTGTCTCGCGGTCGCCAAGCCGAGGCCGTCGCCACCGTCTACGGTATTGCGCACTACAACAAGACGCACACCTGGCTCACCGAGGACATTCTCAACCAAATTGGCGGCGATCAAGAAGTCACCGGAGAAGACGTCAAGCTCAGCGTCTTCGAAATCGTCAAGCGCTCTCTTAGCCGTTTCTCGATGAAGCGCTTCAGGACTCTCTTCCAGGACAAGAAGATTGGCCTTACCACTGCGCTCCTCTGGTTCCAATGGTCGACTATCGGTATGGCTTATCCGCTGTTCAACGCTTTCCTCCCGCAGTACCTCAAGAACTCGGGTGGCGGCGTCGAGAACGACATCAGCATCGTCTACCGCAACTACGCCATCACCGCCATCGTCGGAGTCCCCGGATCAATCCTCGCCTGCTACACCGTCGACCTCAAATACGTCGGCCGCAAGGGCACAATGGCCATTGCCACCGTCATCACCGGTGTCTTTGTCTTCCTCTTCACCATCTCTTCCGACTCCGACTTCCAGCTCGCTTTCACTTGTCTCGAGGCTTTCTTCCAGAACATCATGTACGGTGTCTTGTATGCGTACACGCCTGAAGTCTTCCCTGCCCCAATCCGTGGCACTGGTACGGGAATGAGCAGTTTCTTGAACCGCGTTGCTGGTCTTTGCGCGCCTATTGTTGCTATCCAGGCGGGTGGAAGTAACCCCAAGGCGCCGATTTACGCCAGTGGTGGATTGTTCATTGCGGCGTTCTTTAGTATGTTGGTGCTGCCTATTGAGACGAGAGGCAAGCAGACTTTGTAGATGGAACGCTTTGAGTACCTGACGGCAGGACCGTATAGCGCAGTTGCATGATATGTAGCGCTAAGAATTGACGATATCGAATTCTATGTTGAGGTCATCTCTGCGTTTCCATCCTTAGACATCCGTAACCCCAGATCACAGCCTCGCCCTCACCTCCCCCAGCTTCAAACCCCACCCCCTCAACCACCTCTCCACCAACTCCTCCGTAACATCTTCAACCTCCGGCAACATCTCCCTCGCATTCTCATTCCTAAAAACCATGGCCTCGCCCTCCCTCCCCTCCCCCGCCTCCATCAAAAACGCATGCATCTTGAACTTCTGCGGGTCCAGCATACCCAACCACTGCGGCAAGCTACACTCCCTTACCTCGAGTCCAAACCGCCCAACCAACACCTTCTGCAGCAGCGCCCAAGGCGCAGGGCGGGGGTGCATCATGTTGTATACTTTAACATTGTCTGCAGATGTGCTTTGTTGGGATAACGTGATATTGGCGATGCCTTCCGCAAGGGTGTCAACAGGAATCCAATCCACAGCATTCATCCTCACGGGCCAATACCCCAGTTTCTGACTTGTCTTGAATATGACGTACAACCAGCCCTGGATCGGCCACTGCGGCGCATTGAGTATGGCGGACGATGCGCCTCCGATCTGGCCCGCGCGTACGATGGCCACGCGTAACCCGTGCTGTTGACCTGCACGCGCGAGAAGCTGCTCCGCGAGACATTTACTCTGGCCATAACCCGTGTTCGCTGCACTGGCAAAGTCCCAGGCGGGTTGCTCAGGGATGAGCGGCGTGGAAGGGTGTTGGGTTGGGTGGTTCATTATCGAGGTATTCGACGACATGAAGACGACTCGCGGGTTTAGGGGGCTGGCGATACATGTGGTGATAACATGCTGAACAGCGTTCAGAAGGGGTAAGTAACCGATGAGTGGCGTTGCCCAATTTGCGTTCCACGCATTGAAGATGACTTCTGAGACGCTGGTTGTGAAGTGGGGGTATTGGGTGGGGGATAGGCCGAGGTTGGGGCGTGTGATGTCGGTTGTTATGAAGGTGAGGCGGGTGAGGTCTTCGTTGCTGGTGTGGGTGAGAGACGAGGTGGTGCGTTGTTCTGCGTCTTTACTGCGGTTTAGGCAGAGGATGGTGGTGTGGGGATGTTTTTGGAGGAGAGACGCGGTGATGTAGGGACCTAGGAAGCCTGTGGAGCCGATGAGGGCGATGGTCTTTTGTTCGGTCATTGCTGGTCGTGAGGGTATGTTGCTATCTTTGATGCGGCGGGCTTCTGGAAATCTAGAACCGGGGTTTGAGTACTCAGTAGTCGTCCATTGACACTGTTACGCACGTGGGTAAGTGAAGGGTGAGGTTAGTACGCGATGTGAGGTACACGTCCGTTTGCACCTTATACTTGAAGACGGGTCGGGAAGTCAGGTCGCCTCGACTGAGATGTTGGACATGCCGTGCAACATCCATTGGTAGGTAACATAGAGGCGTCCTGCATATAGTGATTTTAAGTCCGATACTTGTTCTCGCCAATGAACTGAATGTGAGATACACACTGACTGTCTACAATCGACATGACTTGTTGCCGGGTGCTCCGCGGATGCGTGCCAATCTCTCATAGAAGCGTAAGGGGCCCAACCACGGTAGTGATGTGCTGCTACATTGCATAAAATACACATTGCTTGTACCGATCTGTGTAGAGCGATGTCGCGGAACCACACCGATCACGCGTCCCGTTGTGTTTACAGCCTTGTGCTCTTGACCCTTCGATCTCAGCTCGCGTAGAGCGTGGCTTAAAGGGTAGGTCACCGTTGAGCGATACACGACAGGGTTTTGTGTGGCGTTGCTCCAACTGCGTGGTGGACTCCTGCAAGGCGTTGACTATAGTGTCTCTCCATGTCCTCGATACGGACTGCAAGGCCTAGGCCTAGCGCGATAGTTATCAGAGCAGGCCGAAGATTTGTCGACGGAGAGAGTATGATGCGATAGGCTAGAGATGGGTAAAAAAGGTCTACTGGCGACGTTCAGTTCACATCGCAGCGTCTGCCGTTGTACAACAAGCCAGTACCCGATATGCGACGGTTCGCATGAGTGGGTAATTGTGGGCGCAAGGGTGACCCAAGGCTGAGGCACGGAAAAGAGAGGTTTGAGATATCCCTTTGGTCTGATAATGTAGCAATGCGGCTCCACAGTCGCCACGCGCTGCAAGCCTCGACTCCTTACCTCTCCATACCACTTGTTGTCTACGCCTACCGCAACGGCTGCCGTTTTGGTCAAATGATGTACTCCGCAGCGGCACAGGACGACGGTGATGAGAAGCCGTAAGGGGTTGCCGCGCTTGCCATCGCCTTTCTTGAAGAAGAAGCTTGCTCCGAGCTGCCCCCGACTGAGCGACCGTCTGCGCTATCGTAGACTTTCCCGTGCCCACCATTCCGCTCAGCAGGACCATAGATTTGCCGTCCTTGCTATTCGTCCATGTTGTTGTCTCGTCTAGCGGCTCGGTGCGGGTGTTCGATAGGCATCGTGCATTGTGCTCCTCGCCGTGGGAATAGAAGGAGGCGCGTGCCGCGAAATGCAGTCTGGCTAGATCCAGCTTCTGGTTTTGTTGAACACAACGACTCTGTGTAGTCAGTGAGAAGCCGGGTCTGCATACGACAGATCTGGGCACGGAAACTTTTGCCTGATCGAATTGAAGTGATAAGCTAAGCGTCATCCATGATACGAGGTCTTGACAGGAGAAGCAGACTGGTCGATCGCGCTTCGGGTCGTCGTGGGCAGACGGAGCAGCCAGGCCGCTGTCAGGCTGGGCGCAAAGTTCCACCGAAAGTCATCACAATCGGATTCTCCTGAGACAAGCGCGAACACAAGAAGATGCTTTCAGGGTGGAAGTAATGCTGCAATTCGTTATCAGCTGCCCGAGGCTGAGACGGCTGGTACAGCGCTGCAGCATTGCGCGCGGCCCCGCGCTCGGACCGCGTCGGAAACACGTTTTGCCGAAGCCCGCTTGTGCGTCATCGAATGATGAGCGGAACACCATGCCAATGTCATCCTCCCATCGCGTGTATTGCGATATGTCTGTTTGAGCATACTTTTGATTCGCTAAATAAGATACACTACCATGACAACACTCGATGGCCTGTACGCAGCAAATGAGGACGCCCATCAACCACCCGGAACGTTGCTTCCTGAAGAGCGTGGTCGCCCTATATGCGCGTATCCTCGCTGCGACGCGTTTGCTTGCGCACCCCAGCCTCCAGGCTCTAGAAAGCTACTCTGCTGCGACGATGGCATCAGCATCCTCTGGACGTCTTGGTCGAACCCGAACCCACGCACAGGCCTATCGCTGACATTGCCTGACCGTAAGGACACATATTCCCCATGATCGCGATGCACCAGCGACCCAATGTGCAGCGTTTTGTTCGCACTAGTCATGAGCAACTTCAGCGCTGGACCAGATCGCTGACAATGCACCAGGTTTCGAAGCTGATCAACGACATCTAGGATTTCTCGATCCCAACCACGAAGCGGAGTTTCGAAATCGGATATGCCGTCTATGATGCAAATGATGGTCTTTGATTCATCCATGTTCCCCACGATCGACCCGAACAAAGATACCAAAGCTCGCACGTTATATTGCGACACTGCGTCGTAGAGACTCTGCTCCACTGGATCTAGCTCGACGTCCGGTGAGTCGGGATAAAGGAGTAGCTGGGTGATCAGGCTGCGTATAAGTCCAGATGGTCCGCTAATCATGTCCTGTTCAACTCTGGTATGGCTGCTGCAAAAGAAGTGCAGGATCATACTGGAGCTTGTCTGGACGAGCGTGGTTGCCAGGGAAGCACACAGGACGGACAACGGAGATATCTTTCCCATACCATCATCTTTGCAATGCCCATCAACCAGGAGGATTCCGGACAACGGCTGACTCAGCCAATTCTTGAATTGCGCGGTCGTGAGCAGCCATCGCGCCTTGCCGAGACCCTTGGGTCGTAAAGAGTTGCTCTGTCTCAAGATATGCTCCGTCTCGCGGATCAAGTATACGAGATCCACGCCGAGCATCCACAGAAGCTCTTCCGTCGTCATCAATATTGTCTGCTGGGTAAGACGTCGCTCCTCCGCGATGACCTCGGTTCCAACAATCTGCTTGAGAGGCTGCTCTAGAGATGAATGAGTTTGTGACAAGGTTCATACCTATGGAGTCGACTTACTTGTCTGGCACACCATTTCCGCGACCATGTTATACACAAGAGTCTGCACGGTAGCAGCAACCTCGTTCTTGGAGACCATCTGTGACATGTTACCCTCGAACAGCCTTTGAAAGTCTTGCTTAATGTCTTCTTTCAGCTCTTTCACGCTTCGGTTAAGGGTTTTCATTTCCCCATCAATACGCCTAACACAATGCGATACTTCCTGAACTCCAAAACGCGTTGCGTGCAACTCGATACTGTTAGCAGAAGCCGTCTTGCTGACATTCTGCAGGGTTTGTGCGTTCAGAATGTCAATTCGACTCGTCACCCTGGCCTTGGCGTTTTGTATCTCATGATCGAGGCCTTCCAACACGACTGCTTCGTGATCCGGCAGTCGTGTCTTTATACGGCGGATGACTGTTGAAGCTGAGGGTTGACGAGTTTCATCGGACAGGGCCAGACTTACATGATCCATCTTTGCGACACCGAAGCAGCATCTCAGTAAGCAATCTCAGAGAATCAACAATAACGCCGTAGAGATCTCGCGTCTTCTCCTTGAGTTCGTCATCTCGAAATACCTTGTACATCTCGGCCGTCGCTTTGAGAGTGTCGACAACGTCTGACAGTAGCTCGAGTATTTTCTCTCGGTTCTCGATGCGTTGTTCCCAGGCCTGGACAGACGATCAACTAATGTCAAATTCCATATATAGGGCAAGGGTACCTGGAAGATGAATGACAGCCCTCCACGTAAGACACCAAGGCCATATTCTTCTGGGATTATGAAGCAAAGAGAGTTGAGTGTGGTGGCATCTGCTTTGCCGTTCCGAAGGAAACTTCGGAAGGACCCTTTTGGGGCTTTGGCGTCGTACGCCTCTTTCACCGCGTCGATCCGCTCGAACACATCATTCCATGTACAACTCTCGGTTTTGCATCCAGGGAAAACTGCACTGGCCTTCTTAAGAACAGCTTCAAGCTCGCTTCTTAAGTATGAGTTGTCTCGTCGCTCGAGCACTAAGGTGCGGCGTTTGGAAACTCACTTGCTCGGTAGAGTCCTCCACTCTCCACGTTGACGGTTGTATTGGGTAGGCACAGCAAGTGCAGAATGCAAAGCACCACCGGTGGTTGTCTTGAACGCTTCGAACGTCTTGATTTCGTCCTCGTCATCCATTACTTCCTTGACGCCCTTCGGAGGCAACAACATACTGGAAAACTTGCTCATTGTTGAGTCTGGTTATTGCGGTGTAAGGGCTTAGATCTCAGAGTTGTCGAAATTCGGTGTTTAGTCCGCTACCAGCCGGGCATTGCACACCTTCAGAGGGTAGCACACCGACTTGCTCAGCCCCACGGCAATACGCCCCACCAAAGCAGCCTTCGTGCAGCTACTCCAATATCGCTTATCGGACTTGGGTGAAATGCAGATAGTAGTGCGAACATGTCTTTTGCCATGTCAGCGCCGGATCGGGAGATTCAAGCCGAAGGCCAAGGCGAACTGGTGAGACAGATCTTACCGCGCGAGATGGGAGCCGGCAGTTTGCAGCAGAGCCAATGAGAGATACACTGTTATCGGGTCGGTCTTCATCTGTTGGGTTGTGTAAGCGCCGGATCTGGAAGGCTCTGAGAGAGGTGTGCTTGCCCAAGGCTGACACCGATAAGGCTCAATGCAAGAAAAGCCAGCTGGGGGCCAAAACCCTCGACAAGGCAAACGCCAAGGGCGTCATTTTTCGCACAGCTCATCGACTGGTCTGTATAGCCGGTTCATCCCCGAAGGTGTGCAAGAAAAGCCTCTCGAAGAAACAACTCGCAGCTATCACACTCGCTTAGCCTGACACACGGCAGCAACTACAATACCTGGCCTACGGGCATGTGCCACAGCCAATCACCGATTTTCCTCGCACTACCTCCGATACACAACGCAACTGGTTCTGCGTGCGCAGCGGGATTAGCCACAGTATCTCGATATCTATACTTAGCTCTTACCAGCCCGCACTTTGACCGGAACTTACGGGACACTCATCGGGACGATGTGGCCCTCAGGCAGTTCCAATCACACATCGATAATAACTGCTATGGGTATGAAGCATATGCACCCACACGCAGTCAATATATAATCTGCAAGCATGGCGCCTTTTGTTGTAAGTGACCGCCTTCAGCCTCTAGTACTACGGTCGAGCATCTCGACTTGCCAGACCAGATATTGCCGCCTTACATCTTATTTCGCTTTCAAACTGGCCGTCAGGTCTTGCAATTGATCGCTACTGCACACTTCAATTTCCCTGCACGGTCAGTTTCATATACCCGCGTTGCGAGGCATCGCCCTCCGTTTCTTTCGGGCCAAACGGCATGATGGATTCCGCGTCTCCCATGGCTGTGAACGCAGAGCCGGAACTCAAACAGCCAGCTTTGCAGACCGTACGTCAAGTATCCGACCCTGTCGAATGTGATAAATCCACGCAAGAAGAGGTCTCGACCAATGACTCTAGAGAGGGTGATGCCATCATTGCACATTTGGAACCTGAACACGTGTCGCTCGATCAAATCAACCGGAGCATCGGGGATCTCACAAGTTCAATCAACGAGCTAGTCACTTCGAGGGCAACACAGTTACCTACAGCGAAGCCCGATGGATCTAATGTGGAGATTTCGGAAGGCAAAGACCTAGCCGTTAGAGGTGACGGCGACGCACCCACTGAAGAAGAGCCGAATGATGTGGAATGCCCGGCGAAGATCATTCCTCAAGTGCGAAATTGTGATTGGGAACAGTTCAAGAACAGACATGACGGTGGTAAAGACGTTTTCGCTTTGGAGGTACTGATCACTGGTAATTCACTTCCACGTCAAATGGAGGATGAGGATGCTAGAAGGCGGCGCATTCCTGGACGTATACCTGACCCTCCCCCGCCCCCTGCGGACCCGATGACGATCACAAAGCACGGCATGGCCCATAGCGAGGTGCGCAGAGGCAGCTGGATTCGTCAGGTCCGGATCAATTCAAGAGCCGTGATGAAGATCCTTGGGAAGTTCAGTGATGCTGACAAAACCTGGGAAGGGAAGCCACACACGTTTATGCAACCTTTTCGACACCTCCTTCACTTCCATGAGAAGATGAAGAAGGAGCTTCGGGTCCTCGAGGCGAAGATTGCAGGCTCGGCAGTACCATCAGAAACGAAAAACACTTCGCTGGATGAGACCAAACTGATAGTCACGGCGCCTGGTTCCGTTGTCGACGATGAAGACGCAAACAATGACAAAGACAAAGATTCAGACAATCTGGAAGGATTGGATATGAAGAAAGAAACGCTTGAAGAAGTTCAATGCTATGTCGACTTTGTGGAAGAGCACCTGCTACCTCTGCGCCAACAATTCTTTGATCCACCCACGCCGGGAGTACCCACTCGAGTACGCTACGATGAGCTCCCCTATCTCTTCGAGCCTGGCGATCTTATATACGTCCCAAAGTCTGGTCAACAAGGGCCCAATGCCAACTCAACCACACAGGAGATCCGCAGAGTATTCTCGGTTCACGTCGGCTACAACAAAGATTTGGAGACCGGCTGCAATTGCTCCATTTGCAAGGAAAGCAAGTTCACTTCATTGCAGTCGTACTACTTGGACTACGACGGCGAGAAATATGGTTGTGTCATTACTCCAGTGACTTTTGATCCATTCAAGGACAAGAAGGCGATTACTGACCTGCCCTGTTACCCTCTTCGATTCGTCGATGATTTGGAAACAAAGCTGAAACACGCCAAGAGTGACGGGGCCAGATTCGTGGAACACATCGCTAAACGGTACGGCTTCTATAACGGATGGTCGGTCATCAAGAGCCCTGCCGGGGATGATCTTGAAGATGCCAAAGGGGAGAGAATCAAGAGCCCAGAGCATATCGAGAGCGACGTGTTGGTGGACTTCACCGAAGCTTCCAACGTATACCCAAAGTGGAAACCTGAGCTGCAAACACGAACGGAAGAGTTGTACTTTCTAGTACAGGTCGCCGATCAGACTTCGATCATGACATGGAAGGGTCCTGACCGCAAAGACCTTGTGCGAGAAACACCTGACAACACAATGGATGACGTTTTGTTAGAGTTCAGAGAGTTCAATGCTTATCTCAAGCGCGATGCTTTTCTGGCGAAGAAGCATTACCCAGGTCCTCCTACTGGAGAAGATCTGGTTCTTTTACCACGACGAATGTTTGCGTATGCTGTGTGGGATCGCAAGTTTGTGCATATCGACTCTCGCTATCTTAAGCCTGTGAAGCAGCAAGGCAAAGAGGGCGAAGCGTTCACGGACCTTCAGATTGAGGACAAGAACAAGCGACTCATCGAATCACTCCTGAAATCGCACTTCCGGAAGAAGAAGGCTGAATTAGAAGGGACCGAAGTCCTCTCGCAAGACCTCATTAGAGGAAAAGGCCGAGGCATTGTAATCCTCCTTCATGGTGAACCAGGTGTTGGAAAGACCGCCACAGCGGAGGCCGTTGCCCAGAAGTACGAGAAGCCGCTGTTCCCCATCACATGCGGTGACCTCGGCTTTACACCAGAAGGTGTGGAGAAGTCATTGAAAGAATTCTTTCGCTTGGCCCATCTTTGGGATTGCGTTCTGTTGCTCGATGAAGCCGAGGTCTTCATTTCACAAAGAGACAGGAATGATCTTCAAAGAAATGCTTTGGTATCCGGTAAGCTGTCGCCACATTGGAAACAATGGAACTTATGCTGACATCAGGATTAGTATTTTTACGAATGCTCGAGTATTACAACGGTGTGTTGTTCCTCACGACCAATCGAGTTGGAGTTCTTGATGAGGCAATAAAGTCTCGAGTTCACCTCCATCTGCGATACAATCAGCTTGACAAACGACAAACAACACAGATCTTCAAGCACAACATCATTCGACTCAAGAATATCGAACTTCAACGCGAGGATCCAGTCGATCGCCTATTCATTCTTGAGAGTGAAATCAACGAATTTGCGCTGACCCATTTCGATGAGACAGTCAAATCTGGCGTAGGCCGGTGGAATGGTAGGCAGATCCGGAATGCGTTCCTGATCGCTGCTTCACTAGCGCACCTCGATGGCGACGATAACCCTGGCATGCAGAAACAGCTCAGAAAGATGCATTTCGAAACTGTCGCCCAGACAACTAAGCTATACGATAGCTTCAGGACCGCCACCTTGAACGGGGATGACAGTTATCTTGCCTTGGATCGCGGTGAGCGATATGACGCTTTCGAGCAACGTACCAACGTAGCGATGCCGCTTAGCCCATATGGACACTCGTCGTATGCACCGTCGCAACGTCCCGGCTACTATACTGCACCGACCGCTCAGTATGAACGAACAAACCCTATGGGACCCCCAGGACACATGCCCAAGCCTGCTACGCCAGTAGCGCATGAGCAACCGCCATCCGATGTAGGATATAGTCGTCAGTACGAAGCTGGTTCAAGATCATCGATGGGAGGAGCAGAGTGGCCGCAAGGACAGTATAACAACCAGCAGTACGGATAGTAGAACAACGTTGGCGGGTCCTTATCTAGCAGACGCCTGAATTCGTACCTTTCTAAGGTGCCTACAGCTTTCTTTTGCTTCCGATCGCTTCTTATCTTTTGGCTAGCTTAGCTTCCAATATACACGACAGCATCTGCCGTCTTACAACCTGTCATTGCCCTATTCGTTACGGTTCGCATGTGAAAATCGTGATGAGAAGCGCAAGGGCGTCTCGGGCCTGAGGCGTGGGAACGAGAGAGCCATGGCCCTGATGATGTAGCGACGGGTGGAAAGACGGGAGAATCTAAAAATTGGCCAAGGCGGGCTCCACACCTGCTACACGCTGCAAGTCTCGACCCCTTACGTCTCCATCCCCCATGTTGTCTACACCCACCACGACGGCTGTTGCTTTGGTCGAATATCATTCAAGAAGAGTAGTCTCTATCTGTCTGTCGAGTCAGCAAATGACACGGAAAACACGCACTGCAACGCGCGAGTGCAGCCAGGGTCTTTCCCCGCATCTGGCTGCCGAGGCTTCAACACCATGAAGTTTGGCAGCTTGAGCACGCAAAGCGATGCGTAGCTTCACGATATCACGAGTGCTAACATTATAGGCTCTACTAAACAATATACTTAGATCCAGGTAGCCTCGCATCGCCATCGACCTCGTAATCGCAGCCCCCAATCCCCCAAACACCATGACACTAGGCGAATACACAAACCTACGCGTCGACCGCCACGACCGCGTCTTCATCATAACCCTCGCCAAAGCCCCCGAAAACCGCATAAACGTCGCCTTCGCGCAAGAAATAATACGCGCGCTCCGCGACATCGAGGCAGAACTAGGCGCCGACACAGAAGGCTGCGTGATAACGCGAGGAAACGACGAGAAGTTCTGGTGCACAGGACTCGAGCTAGACGAGAGCGACAGAAACCCTTTCGCAAACAGCGATGGTTTCTTCCCGCTGCTAGCCACCTTGCTCGACTACCCGTTCCCCACTATCGCGTTATTGACAGGCCATACATTCGGCGGCGCCTGCCCCTTCGCCCTTGCACACGACTACCGCATCATGAACTCCTCGCGCGGCTTCTTCTCTATGCCGCCTGTGAATCTCGGTTTGCATTTCCCTGGCATCGGGTTCCTGCCGCGGCTTAAGCTCCGGCCGCAGGTTGCAAGGAAGATGCTGCTTGAGGCGCATCGCTGGACGGGCAAGGAGGCATACGAAGATGGCATTGTGGATGAGATTGCGGAGCCAAAGGTTATGCTTGAGGCTGCGCTGAAGAAGGCGAGGGATGTGCAGGGGAGGGCTAAGATGGGTGTTTATAGTGTGTTGAGGAATGAGCTTTGGGGGGAGGCGGCGGAGAAGATTAGGGGGATTTGTTATGTGCATGGGAAGAGGGTTACTGCGCCTGCGAAGGCGAAGATTTAGAATTCTTGGGTTCTCTGACTGATGATTATCGATGTTAATCTAGGCTGACTTACTGATCATGTATTTGGGCTGTCTCTTTGTTAGATGATTGGTTCTTTCCACAGTTTGCGTGGGCGTGCCTCATTTCGTCATAGATCCGTGCGTCATCCCATCGCGACTTCCTTTCGCTTCATCTCACTCCAACTTGCTTCCGCCTCATCGCATCCCAAAACACCAAAAACACCCCTCCATGTCGCTGCATCATCTTTCACCAATTGCCTCAGAAATCGCAGATCGGTCGCTTACGTTGACAAAACTGTTGCGACAAACAAAGTACGTCTACCGAGCGTATGAGGGTCGGTCGCGAGCTATCTTCAGGACCCTACTTGTCTCTGCGGAAACCGGACCGAGAAAACGCTCGTATCAGGCCATCGATGACATTTGATATCAGTATATACAAGTGTACTTGTGTAATGGTAGATTTTTTCTATCTGCCGCTGGCCATCAAAGGCTAAATGCGTCGCGTCATTTATCAGGCCCTGGCGATTTCCATTCAATTTGGATCAACACCGGGATGATCAACACAACAACGCGAAGCTGACTGGACCAGGCTACTTCAGCCACAGTCGTGGCTGTTGTTCGTACATCCCGTACCGTAAGGAACGGATTGGTTACGCCGTATCAATCCTGGGTTGAATTGAGGCTCAAAAACCAGGAACGGGGGCTCAGGCAACTACACATCTACACTTTCTGAGAGTTTTGTAGAGCACACACAAAGATTCACCATCATGCAATTCTAACAGCAATTATAAGCGTGGAGCATTTTGCCGCAAGCGGGATGCAGCAGCAATATACCATCAACGTGGAAGCGGATCCAACACTCAACAGAAAGTACCGCCGTTCGTACTGTTGGACATCATAATGCCTTCTAGGAGCTTATCGCACGACCGGATGACGATATACACTAAGCCGACGACCATCGTATCATGCGTATTGCATCTCCCAGCATCGGACGAAGGGTGACATGGTGCACAGTTATAAGCGCCTTGTGGCTATTTGCACAGTCTTCGAGATGCTGATACAAGAACGAGCACATCTTATATCTGGTACGGGTCACTTCTTCGACAGGATTGAGCTCTCCGCTACGGTGAATTGTCATAATCTGGTAGAGTCTACGTGTTTCGCCGACGATGAGCATAGGCAGGCTGTTATTAACGCTTGTTGCTGTTAGTCATACAGGTACTTGCTTCCATACACACACGTACTTCACTTCACAATTAACGCAATTGCAGCATATGGCCAAACAACCAAGCGGTACTGCGATTTGGGAACCTCGATATGCTATTCCGGGTGGACTGGCACGAATGGCATCAGCTTTGGTGTCGCTCTACCTCAGTCGAAAGCTGCACCCTTCGATACCGTCTTGCAAATTGTGTCGCCGATCAAGAATGGATGGGTCGGATTCAGCTGGGGTGGAACGATGCCATACGTCCCACTTACAGTCGGATGGATGAACAGTGCATCAAACACCTCTATTTACTCGTCAAGGATGGCTTTTGGCCTGAGCTTGCCACAACCCTACGCCGATGCCGAGTACTCGTACATCAAAGGAACCGGATACAACTCGACTCACTGGACCCTAACTGTGCGATGTAGAGGTTGCTCTCAATGGCATGACGTGGACGGGAATCTGGTTTCTATCGACGCGAACGCTTCTGCGCAAAAGTTCGCATATGGCTTGTCGAGTAGACCGCCTGCTGAACCGGCGAACAACAGATCTACCTTCAACGTGCACAATTCTTTTGGAAACTACCGAATTGACCTCACACAAGGTCAGAATGCGGACTTTGACGAGTTGGTTGCTGCGAACCTCATCACTGGTACCCCGCCAGCATCAAGCAGTACCCCAGTACCGAGCTCGACTATCAGCACAATATCGACTACGATGAGCATGGGTACGGTTACTTCTGGATTACCACAACCAACCCAGACAGGAATACCCGTGTCGTGTCCTGATGTTGCAGAACTTGCATTCCCTGCCAACACAGCGAAAGGATGGAGGGCGACGAAGGTCGCAGGAGGGCTGAACCAGCCAAGAGGGCTTATATTCGATAACGCTGGGAACCTTCTTGTCGTACAGAATGGTATGGGTATTACAGCTCACGAAGTTGCGCCAAACGGCTGCCTCACCTCATCCAAGACTGTCATCGCGCAGCGTAATCTCAATCATGGCATGGTGCTCAGCCACGATGGAAAGACGCTGTTCGCTAGCTCTGCGACTTCGGTATTCTCATGGTCATATGATGCAACCACCATGAGCGTATCTGAGAACGCAAAAACAGTCTTAACAGGCATGGACAGTAGAGGGCATGTCACCAGGACGCTAGCGATCCCACCAAAATATTCGAATCTTCTTCTCGTCTCACATGGATCGAATGACAACTTCGATTACGGTTCTGCGGATATCGCAACCGGTCGTTCTTGCATCAAAGTATTTGATACGACCGCTATCCCTATGGCTGGCTACGACTACCCAACCAGTGGCTACCAGATGGGCTACGGGCTCCGGAATGAAGTTGGTTTAGCATTCGACGCCGATGGCATGCTTTGGGGTGTCGAGAATTCTTCGGATGAGCTGCATCGCACTATTGACGGGATATCCGTGGATATCCATACCGATAACCCAGCTGATGAGATCAACTACATTGGAGACCCATCCAAAGAGAACACAGACTGGTATGGGTACCCCACCTGTTATACCGTCTTCAACCCGGCATCTATTGCAGACAAACTATTCACGATAGGCGACCAGTTCGTTTTGGAGCCTAATGCGACCTTCACAGACGATACCTGTAACACCCGCAGTGTACCACCGCGTCTTGCTCTTCCGGCACACTCCGCACCCCTTGATGCGAGCTTCAACAAGAACTTTACCAGCATGTACATTACCCTCCATGGGTCTTGGAACCGCAACCCTTCGATTGGATATAAGATCATTGAAGTGCCGTTTACCAAGGGCGCGAACGGCTTCGGACCGAAAGCAGCCGTGAATAGTACGCAGGCTTGGGCTGACATTTTCTGGAATCCGGATGTGGATTCTTGCTCGACTACGCAATGTTTCAGGCCTGTGAGTATTGCGCAGGATGGCTATGGTAGGATGTATGTGACTAGTGATAGCGGGGCGGAGGGGGAGATGATTATTATTGGAAGGGAGTAGATAGGGAGAAGTGTGGGACCATGGCAGCTCTTCGCATTCGTTTAAAGTGTCTCAATATTAGACTCGTCCGTCTGCTCCGTCTACCAACCTTTCGGAATTTGCTAGCAGCCTGTTTGTCTGCCTCGGTGCTTTCTACAATCATTATTTGACATCGCGCCTTGTCTCGTGAACATCGAGGTGTTTAAGCATCGTTCGCTGGATCATACCGAGGTATCTGGCCTTCGGACGTCTTGAGTTCCCGAGAATTGGGGACATGTAGCGTCGTCCAGCCCTACGAAAGTTTCCGATAAGGCAGTACAACTTAGCTGGTGATCATGATCTGCGGGGTACATGTGACTCGGCCTCTCAAATCAACACTCCAAGCAACTCACCAACCGTAACCTGTCTCGCGCATAGTGGTCCAAAAGGAGTCAACAGAGCGAGTCATGGCTGTCGCACACAAGTCATGTTTCCTTTTGTGGCAAGGTGAGCGGCGTGCGGAAGAAAAAGCAACTAAGGATCTGCCTCGGCAAAAAACTCGGTGACGTATTTACCGCTTCAACAACACTAAGGTTGCGAACGACACCCCCAATCGCACGGCGGTGAAAGGCGGCCGTGATGGACTAGGAGATGGACGAAATGTCTAGTGGTGGGGTAGCGTGCGCAACGTGTGGCGTCGCACGATGGGGGTGGAGCCACCTCGGAGGTTGAGGTCTGAGGTGGTTAGGTACAAAGGTCGACATGCACCGGCTCCCCTGGCCATTGCCCACCACTGACTTGCTGTCATAGCTTTTGTATTCGTCGGACGCTTCACATATACTCCGAGTCAGAAGCCGACTGAGAGACTACACTTTACTTCCCACTCCCCACCTCGCGTACCTGCGCCGGCACCCTTTCTCCACCGTAAGCACAGCCAGCAGTCCGCACACCGGCCCGCCATGATCGACTCGTACTTCGACGTGTTAGTAATCGGCAGCGGCCTCAGCGGCATCAACTCGGCCTACCGCATCCAAGAGTCGCTGCCAGACGCCAAATTCGCCGTCCTCGAAGCCCGCCACGAACTCGGAGGAACATGGTCGCAATTCAAATACCCGGGCGTACGGTCAGACTCCGATTTGCACACGCTCGGCTTCCAGTTCTACCCATGGAGGGCGAAGAACCCGATTGCCAGCGGCGAGAGCATCATGAGCTACTTGCAGGAGACGGCGCACAAGTTCGATCTGGACAAGAAGATTCGGTATAGACACAAGGTTATGAAGGCAGATTGGAGGAGCGAGGAACAGCGGTGGAGACTTGAGGTGGAGGTTGGGAATGATGTTGGGAGAGAGCCACGGACGGTGGTGTACTGGACCAAGTGGTTGATCACTGGTACGGGGTACTACAACTACGACACCCCGCTGAAGGCGAATATCCCCGGTATCGACAACTTCAAGGGCAAGCTTGTTCATCCGCAGTTCTGGCCTGAGGATCTGGATTACAAGGGCAAGAAGATGATTATTGTGGGTAGTGGCGCCACTACTATTACCATGATGCCTGCGATGGTGGATAATGGAGTGGGTAGTGTGACGCAGCTGCAGAGAAGTCCGACGTACATTATGAGTCTACCGCAGAAGGACCAGGTGTGGTTTGAGAAGTGGGCGCCGGAGTGGTTTACCCTCCGCTACAAGCGTAAGCCTTCTTCCCTTCAACTATCAGTCCAAACTAACAACCCAGGCTTCATGTTCACCCTCGTCCCCATCCTCCTCTACAAATTCTGCATCTGGTTCCCCACCCTCGCCTCCAACTTCCTCGTCAATAAAGCCGCTCAACAACTCCCGCCCGACTTCCCCGTCGACCCGCACTTCAAACCCGGCTACAACCCCTGGCAACAACGTATGTGCCTCTGCCCCGACGGCGACTACTTCAAAGCCTTCAGCTCAGGGAAAGCGCACATCGTCACCGACACCATCAAGAGCGTCGTCGCCGACGGCATCGAACTGAACAGTGGAAACAAACTGGAAGCTGATATTATTGTTACTGCCACAGGCCTCAACATGCGTTTCCTCGGCGGCATCGACGTGCGCGTCGACGGCAAGAAAATCGAAGTCTCAGAGCAATACATGTGGCGCAACGCCATGCTCACCTCCCTCCCCAACCTCGGCAACATCATCGGCTACTGGAACGCGTCTTGGACACTCGGTTCGGACGCCGCGTCCCGCCTCTTCGTCCGCTTGATCAAGCACCAGCAAGAGCAGGGGTATACCAGTGTGACGCCTGTGATTGATGAGAAGAGTAGACAGAAGACGGTTAGTGCTAGTCCGCTCAATAGCACGTATGTCAATGTGGCGATGAAGAAGATGCCGAATTGTGCGGATGCGGGGCCCTGGAAGCCGAGAGATAATTGGTTTGCGGATAATTGGGGGGTTACGAGGGGGAGTATTGAGGAGGGGTTGAGGTGGGAGAGGGTGAGGGTTGAGTAAAGTGGTTGGGGGTAGTAGGAAGAGAGGTTTGGAGATGGATGGGTTTATGAGGTTCTAATGAATTATACTTGAGTATGGTATTTTGGTCTTATATGCTGTTGTTCTGTGGAGAGAGTGTTGTGGTGGTCTGTTACTGCTAGACGCTTCCATCCCAATGCGGCATTTCTCTTTCACTTTCACTTTCACCGCGTCCGTGCCATATTTTCGATTTGCTTAATACAACGTCCCCCGTCTTGAAAAATCTTTCTCTACACCCATTCCCCATCCACGCCGCTCCGTCGCGACCTCAGCTGTCGACGCGACGCTGCGCATTCCTACGATATATCTTCCTGAGTACTTCACTCTCGCCACCCATCCAGCGCCCTACAATTCTCAGCATGACATCGCGTCATGATACAGAGCAGACTTTGGCGATCCGCCGCGACCTAATTGCGAAGAGATGTAGGCTCCGCGCTCAGTTCGCGACGCAGTAACGCACGCGACGGCAGCGCAGCGTCTTCTCCACGCTGACATGAAATGATCGTGTCGCAAATACTACAAGGATGAAGTCAACAATCCGCGACGTAGTTACTCACCAGCGTAGGCTCCGCGACTATGTCGCGACGCAGTAACCCACACCACGGCACCACCGCGTCGTCTTCCTGCAGGCTCCAACCAGTATTACCGCGCAACTTTTACACGATACCGAAGCAATTTTCAGACCGGCCTTGATGAATGCAAGCGCTTGATCGACTTCGATGCGTTCCGTCAATTCTTCCTCAGACAATTTCGCGCAGCGCTATCGTCGCGATGAAGGATGGGAAGAGATAATATAAACGACGAGCGACGACACAGAAATACTGTCGGAGCGACTATTGTATAGTTGCGGTTTAATATCCTCGTGGTGTTCTCAATCTGCCGTTACCGACCTGACGAAACGTTGCCAGCATCCATCACTCAAGCGGGAAAACCTTGAAGACATATCGCAACGCAGACCCTTCGATCAACTCAATAGTATTCCCTGTATCACCACTGATCTTACCCTTAGGAATCGTCCCCACCCCGCTAATCAATCCCTGGTCCCGGCAAACCTCCGAGATCATCCATCGGCAAACCTCACCACATCTTACCGAGGTGGGGCCTTTTCCTTCCTAACTCCCCAACGCGCCTTTCAATCGATCCCGCCGTTTTTGGCGATATATACATTGCATTTTCTCATACCTTCATCAAAGCAGCTCCTCTCCAGGATCAGCACAACCGGGCTTGTGGTTTAGTGGTATAATACTCCCTTAGCATGGGAGTGGTCCAGGGTTCGATTCCCTGCAAGTCCATGTTTTTGCGCTCGTCGTGGTTGGGGTAGGGCGCTGCTGTGTGTGTTTTTGGCCATTTGAAGAAGTTTTAGAGGTTTGATTTTTACATTTTCGGGCACTCTGGTCGAGGGACATCGGGCGCGATGAGGTGACAGTGGCAGTGAGGTAGAAGATTGGTTGGCACGACCACGTTGGTGGGTTGCGGATACGAAAAGTAAACGTCGTGACTCCAACATTGTTGGACTGGAGACACGAAGAGTCACTTTGCTGCACGCGGCGTGTGTACATCATAGCGGACGACGGGAGTGACTTCTGCAAACTCGTGCGTAAGAGTCATCTATTCATGTCTCGTCATACCTGGCCGTCTCGCTACCCCGGACTCTGTCGTTCATGTTCTGTTTTTCGACACTTGGGCATGTACAGTACGTTCAACTACCCCATACAAAGACGCACTCAAAGACCGTATACCGAGCGAAACTTCATTTCCGATATCCAACCGCGGCAAGCCTCCATAGAGAGACGTTGTTGTACGAGTACAACATGGCCTTTTCATCACCAAGATCAACGAAGTCGTCCATCCCTGAGTTTCTATATTGCAGCAGTGCGGCTTTAGGTGCACCCTCGCCCTTCCCGCTTTTTGCTTCATCTGGAGGCTCTTCCTGACTAAAGAGCACACAAGTACCGTACTCCTTGTCTGGCTCGATACGATTGCGGCCCATATCGAAGTCAAAGCCCAACTTCCACGGCTGATCCAGCTTGTACCCAGGGGAGGCGTTCGCGGTGATTGTCAACCGCCCTGATGGAGATTCGCTTGGTAGGACTCTATACAGCGTTTGGAGATTGCGTATACCACAGCCGTTCGGAGAGGCCCCGATCACGACAATGAGCTCGGGAACATCTGTACGGTTGACTACACTAGAGCTAGGGACGGTCCTGCGGGTGATAAGCAGGTTGAGGGTGAGTGTTGCTACATTCTGGTCGTCGTCGCATCGCGTTTCGCCACTCACATCCCCGTTCTTCCACTGGAAGTATCGTGAGAGAAGGAGATACATACAGTCGCCAGCCACAGCCCTTCACCTCGAGGTCCGTGGCAGTGTTGGTATAGCCATGGCAAAACTCTAATACATCGTCGGCACTTTCGTCTACGTGACTCGTGTCCCGGTTTGAAAAATCGCGTGCGTCTTTCATCTTGGACACAATGGTATATCTCGGGGAATAGAGAGTAGCAAACCTTCGAGCAGCGATAGGAGAATGATGGTAATAGAGCAACAGTAGCATCATCCGCGTTTTACATGTCAATGTGACTCCTTGGGGATGACTTGTCGCACGATCGTGCGTTGACGTGGACTCATACAAGATACTGAGCAGGATGCGGCAGCATCACATCGTGACTACGTAGAATATAAGAGGTCGTTGACGTTGTTCAATTCAACACTCCCTACATTCCGCGATACTATATGTCTTGGATTAGGTTCCACTTTCAACATCGATCACAGTACAACACAATAGAAACAAAAGATAATCAACAGCTCTCAACAATCTTCATTCTATGCAACCAGTAATCAGTATCCACATTTCCACACTCCCCAATTTCTGCATCCCACCTCTCCGATCTATCCCCTCAACCCTCAAGAAAAGGGCAAGACATCTTTCAACAAAAGAGAACGCCTATGCTATGCAATACCAACCTAACAATGCTCGTCCCATGTCCAAAGCCAAAGCCAGGCGAAACCATAACGCCTTGCAATCAACTTAATGGAACGCCATATCCACCGCTGGTCATAAACATGCCAGATAAAACAAGAGAAATATACAAAAGGAAAACACACCCCACACTCGTTGGTGTGGTAGGAAGGTCAAAGACCAGTCCACCCCCTCCTCCTACGTACCTGCGTCAAGTACCCATCTCCACTCCGTCTCTCCCCATAACCAGGACTCTCAGCAGCAGCACTAAGTGCCGTCAACTCCCCAGATTTCTAATCCTGCACCCCCTTCCTCGCCGCCGTACTCATCTCCCCGCCACTAGTCTCCCTCCGCCTCCTCACAATCTGCAGCCGTGGGAGCGGCGGCGCATTACTCGTCGAATGCACCGGCTGGCTACTCGACGGAGCAGGAGACCCAGTGCTATGGCCATGCGAAGACGCATGGCTCGGTGGTGTTTCGTTCTCGCCTCCGACAACACTCTGCCGGCGCCGACTCACGGCTTCGCTGATGCGTCCTTGACGCGCTTTGGGAAGTCGAGACGAGGACTTCGCGTTGTTGTGATTCGCTTCTATGCGCGCGAGACTGGTTGCTGCGTCGCGGGACGGAGGACGGGAGGAAGTGCGTGGACCGGTTGGTGTGCTGGTGTTTGATTGGAGGGCGGCGAAAGACGTGGAACTGCGGGCGAGAGCGGGTGGTTTCGATCTTCCAGACGAAGAAGGAGGGAGGACGGCGGTGGGGTCTTCAGCGAGATCCCACATTGCGGTTGAGGATTGGGAGCGCGTAATGCGGTGGTCGCCGCGGTGGCCTGTCGGTGTGCCAGACATGGGTGGGAGCATGAAGGTGGATTTGAGGGAGTTGGGTGTAGGGGGTGTGAGACCCATGCCGCTGCTAACGAGCGTGGAACCGGTGCTAGAGCCAGAGCCGTCGCGGCGGCCGGCTGAGGAGGCGGGGCGGCGGAGGTTCATGCCTACATTCGAGGCGCGACTAAGGCTTCGTTTGCCGTTGGAGCCTTTACTGATGCCGGAGAGTTCGACTTCGTCGCAGGCGCGGACGAGCTCTTCGGCCATTTGGCGTACCAACACTGCAGAGTCGTGTTCCATGAGCCAGCTGATGCGCTCGTAACAGCCGAATGCGCGTATAAGCCAGCAGCCCTCGTCCTTCGCGTCGCAAATCGTCCGCAGGATACGGAGGAAGTTCAGACGCGTCACGGCATCCTTGTGTCCCAGCTTTTGTTCTGTGCGACCGAAGATCTCGGGTACGGCGAGGGAGGCAGCGATTGGTGGTGACAAGCGAACCACCTTCTGCAGTGGCTCGAGCATGTTCTCGAAGGTTGAGTGTGGGAGGTCGGCGGAGGTATACGCGGAGATGATGGCGACGGTAAAGTTCGATTGTGAGGAGAGAAGGTATTGCTCGACGCGCGCGGTTTCTTCCTGGAGCCTGTTATAGTTAGCATGAGATACATGACCATCAATTCATTGAATGCATACCACACGAAAATGGCATCCAGGGCCGTTACCGCCCAATTGCGGTCGCCCAACAGCGAAACGTAGAACGCCAGACCCTTTGCATCCCACAACATTTTCCGTGCCACCTTGCCCGAGTTGACCATCTCAAGCAGCACCGGCAGCGCAAACTCCTTGAGCGGGCCGCCTTCACGCACAACTTCCTTCAGCAGAGGAATAATGTCCGACAACGCAGCCTCCTCCTGTCTGCTCTTGTTGTGCCGACACAAGTTGTACATGGTATTGAGGATCTGGTTCGAGATCTCGCGGTGGAAGGGAGGTAGTCGCGCTGGGTCAGAGGCCGATCGCTGCTGACTGCGGCTCATTGCGTCTTTCTGCCGGGTCGACTTCAGTAATTCGATGAGGATGTCGATCGCGTTGGAGTTTTGTAAGGCTTCGTGGGTCGACGAGAGGGAGCTGAGGTTCTTGATGAACTTGAGCATCGTGATCTGGTGCGGTGGTGCCATCTTGCGGAGATCTTTCAATACACCTGTGAGTTGTTAGCCATGTTTAACCTTGACAGGCTATTACCGAGCCTAAGCTTGTAAAATGGGAGGGATAACTTACGCTTCAGGATCATCCGATCCGCCACAAGATCCTTGACATGACTCTCTGCTTGCGAGAAGATGAGGAAGATCTGTACAATCCTGCCGACGATAAGGCGTGCAACCTCCCCATCTTCCTCCACCATACGGTTCAGCACCAAGCTGAGGGGGTATAGTACGCTCGATCTCGAGAATATGCGACAAAAGTCATTCTTCGGGGTCGGTCCTTGTAATTCGAAAACACCAAAGACGCCATTGACACCGATGAGCACCAGATCGCGCTCAGCGTCAATGTCCTCTTCCAAAAACTCAACGAGCACATTGATACCACCACAGCCGATGAACATTTGCAGCGTCAATGTGCTGGTTTGGTACATCTGCCGTACGAAAGCCGCAGCCTCTTTCCGGATGTCGCTAGGGAACTTCTTGGAAGCAAAGTAACAAATGGTAGGGATGCCACCCAAGAACGACAAGCTCTCTTGCGATTCAGAGTCTTCCAGGATGATCAGGTTGATAATCTTCAGAAGGGGTAGGACCACCTCGTTGTGCGGCCTGGTTCCGAGAATTTCCAAAATCGGCAGCATGCCGTGACTTCGCAATATGATTGATCGCTTATCCGGAGATTCATGTAGCACCTGCAGTAATTGATCTGCAATGTCGAGTAGCTCGTCGTCGGGTTGACTTGTCTTCAGACAGCCCACAAGACTCTCCGTCATCTTCGTCAACCGATCGTCCCGGTCTCGCGCGACGTTGTTTTCCAAGTTGATATTGTCGAGGCCCTCATCAAGGTTCGCGAACGGATCAAGATCATCCTCGTCGGCTATGATGAAAGAGTTCGCCATCTTCGATGTGATCATGGCAAGACTGCTGTGCTCACTCCCACTATCACTCTCGGCTCGGCTAGGATTAGCAAGCTGACTCTTGATGTCACCAAAGACATCCGAAAAGTCATCGCCTTCATCCTCGGCGTACTTTTGAATCTCAATTTCCGACTGCGTCCGTTGTAGTTGCTTCCGTGTCGATGTCGAGCTCGTCGATCTCTGATGGACATTGCCACCAGACTTGAGATCGCGTGTTGACTTGGGCCCTGCTTTTAGGTCGCTGGGATGGAACAGTCGTGGAGAGAAAGTATCAGATGGTGGACTGGAGTTGGTGACGATTACTTGTCTAGATGGCACGGCTGGCGAGTTTGCGTACTGCATGGACGCTAGCTTACGCTCAAAGGCACCCTCATCAGCTGGCATGAGATCCGAATAATCCTCGACAGTGTCCTCGCGAAAGAGCTGACTTGGCCGCGCTGGCGCTGTCGTCTTTGGCTTGGGAGGCTGTGCAGCCCTTGGTGTACCTCGCAGGAATGCCGTTCTAGGCTGAGGCTCATGTCTATCCTCGTACTCTGATGTGGAAGCGTTCGAATTTGATCTCGAAGACGTGTTCGATGATGACGCAGACGTCCTAGGTCTACCATTGGCGCCTCTCGATCTCTCAACCGCTCTATGGCCCGACGCTTTCGGGAAGCTCTGGAACTGCGCCAAGTTCATCGGACTCTTCACCGTAGCCTCGCCATCGTACTCTGCCATCTCTGTAACCGACTCAAAACTGGCAAAAGCCTTGAGCTTGTCGCTCGAAAAGAGACCGCCAAAGTTGTCCTGTGGCTTCAAGTGTGGCATCTGCAGGGCGCGGGGCGATATGCTTTCGGCAAAGTCATTATCCCAGTTATCGTCATGATCTAGCTCCGGGGAGCGGAACGACTCAGCGGTGGGTCTGTGCTTCGGGATGTTGAGATTAACATTGGCCGGATTCTTGCGAGATGAAGCAGCAGGACTGGCTTTCTGCAAGCCCGACACAAGACGCGAGCTTCGGCGCAGGGAGCTGGGCGACTTTAATGCCTCGTTCCATTCCTGCACGGACTTGACTGCTTCCTGATATTCGGTAGGTTTTGTGGGTACTGCAGGGACAGTCCGCTTGGCGCTGAGAATCCATGGGTGCTTGAGGAGGCGTTTTGCGGAGATGCGGAGCGTGGGATTCTTCTGGAAACACTCCATGAGGAACTCGCGCAGCAGCTGTAGGGGTCAGAATGTGGGGTATACGTTGGAGGGGATTACTAACCGGAGAGGCACTTCCAGGTATCGGCGGGTGCTCATCGTTGACGATTCTGAAGAGGGCCTGCATGGGCTGGAGCTTGTGGTAGGGCGGCTTCCCTTCGATAAGCTCGATGACTGTGCATCCCAAACTCCATATGTCTGACGAAGTAGTAGCGCCGGATAGTTCGATGACCTCGGGAGCCATCCAGTACGGCGTGCCGACAACACTCGACTGGTCCAGACCTGACTGCTTGGTGGCTACGCCAAAGTCTGCCAGCTTGACGAGGCCCTCCTTGGTCGTCAGAATGTTTGCGCCCTTTATATCCCGATGTATGACACCCTGTTCGTGGAGGTAGAGGAGCCCGTGGAGGACCTGCGACATGTACAGCGCGACGAGGTTTTCGGGGAATTTTCCAAAGTTCTTGCAGATGCTGTGCAACGATCCGTTTTCGCAGTACCTGAGATGATTAGTTACGCCCTGGACGTTCATTCGGGCCACTCACTCCAGAATAATGTACAGACTCTCGGAGCTCCTCACGAAGCCGTTGTACTTGACGATGTTGGGGTGGTTCAGGTTCTTGAGCAGGTCAATCTCCATCTCCATGTTCTTGAGGTCGGCGGTGCCCAGGTTCTCGAGGCGGACCTGCTTGATGGCGACGGCCTCGCCAGTCCCCCAGTTGAGGGCGCGGTACACGCTGCCGAATGCGCCTTTGCCCAGGCAGTCGCCCAGCTGGAAGTCCTTGAGGCCATCCACGCCCTGGGCGGCCTTTTGCGCGGTGCCCTCTCTGCTCGGTCGCTGGTCGCGCTCGCGGGGCTGGCCATTGTGGTTGGACGACGACGACGACTTCTTCGCGTGGCCCGGCGTGCTGGCGGTCGGGGCGGAGGGCTGCGACGAGCGCGAGTTCGAGGCTGCGTGCGCCGGTCGGGAGGGGTGTGAGACCATGTTGACGTCTTCTCCAGGCCCGGGCCGGCTGCTATGCCGTCGTATCGTCGGGGCGTCGTCTGTCGCGGCGCGGAGGTGCGTTGGCGGAGGTGGGCGGCGGCGGCGGTGAATGGCGGGCTGCGGTGTGCATATCCTCCCTCAACACGCACCCGGGGATCCAGAGCGACGGCAGCGTCGCGGGCAAAGTCGCAATTGTTGTTGTTGCCCATGCGCAGCCCAGGCAATGCGTTGGAGGGGCCCGTTACCAGCGCAAAGCAATTATCACACGGGGATCCTGGCCGCGAAACACGCTCTAGCACGCCCAGCGAATCCCAGAGTCGCTCTCGCCTGCCAGCGGCTGCCGTTGTGGAAAGACTCGTCGCCCAGTGCTGCCGCGGAGATTGAGGCAGCGGGCGTCGGGGAGTCGCTAGAGGGCGGCGACTCGAGCTGCGGTGAATGTCTTGTTGCTACTCGACCTGCGCGCAGTAGCGGCCGCGCCGTTGCATCCTCGCATCCTCGCTTCATGCGCCCTGCCTCGTACCATCCACTCACCGCGCTGCACCCCATGGCTGCCTCCGGTTCCGAAAATTGTGTATGCACATATGTATGTAGGTGCCACAATGCGACGCGACGCGACGCGCCGTACTTTATGTTTCTCTTAGCAAAATTTCGTCACAAAGACACATTGTCATCAAAGACATGCTCTCCACGTGCGCTAGCCCCTTGCATAAGCCACACATAACATTTCCGTCACCTACGACGCGCCCCATCATCATCAAATGCTTGCGTCACATCACCTCTCGCTATCGCTCACTATCGCAATCAGACATCATCAGCATGGTTTATCGCTGTCGCGGGGAATGTGGGGAAACGGCTTCGGTCAGCCTTGTGGAAACCCGACCAAAGAGGAAGTGCCGATGCACGAGTCAAGTTGAGACGCCTAACAGTTGGTATCATTTCTCATACTTATTTACTAATCATCATCTCCCTCACATCTTCGCCACCAAACCCTAAGAGCTCACAACGTTGAGGACACCGCCGTCCACTGTCAGAATCTGGCCGTTGACGTAGGAGTTCTTGGTGAGGAAGATGACGGCCTGTGCCATCTCTGCATCGCTTCCCGCACGTCCATGTGGAACGTGGCCCTTCTCCTGGATCTTCTCATCCGGCAGATCACTCTTCTGGTTCTCGTCGCTCTCCTTCGCTGTCATCTCCGATGGGAAGTAGCCAGGGGCAATGCTGTTCACACGGATGCGAAGCTGCTGGAACTCGGCCGACATGAGTTTGCTGAGGTGGACGGTGCCGCCCTGAAGTAAGAGTTAGTGAAAAGCTTCTACACACGAAGACAAATGTCTCACCTTGGCAGCGTTGTAGCTGAAGTGCCCTTGTGCGTCCTTCATGATTCCCGACATGGATGAGATGACAATGACAGAGGCAGAAAGGTGGCCATGGCTCTCAGTTCCAGCTTGGAGAAGCGGCAGAAGTACGACGGTGGTGAAGTAGACGGCAGTGACATCGGTGTTGTACGTCTCGGCCCAGCCCTCGAATGTCTCGTTGTCGAAGAGCTTCTTCTTCATGTCGGTCGCGTTGTCTGCATCGGGAATACCCTTCTCGCCTGAGATACCGGCGGCGGCGATGAGAAGGTTGATGTACTTCTCCTTGGACGCTAGCTCCTGGTACATGCGCTCCAAGTCGTCCTTCTTGGTTACGTCACATGGCGAGAGAGGGATGATTTGACCGCCTTGGTCGGGGCTGTGTGACTTCGCTGCGGTCTCGAGGGCTAACATGGTCAGTACCTCCGTCTGCCTAATTCGAGGGGGCGGTAGTCGTGCTTACCTTCTTGTCGACGACCAGTAATGTATACCTTTCAGATGTTAGGAGTTTTCATTCGCGAGAAGGAGGAACGTACTTTTGCGCCGTTCGCAGCAAGGGCCTGGGCAGCCATGAGGCCAATACCAGAGCCGCCTCCGGTCACTACGCATACATAGTCCTTGACTGAGAAGAGCTTCGCGACGTGAAGGTCGGAAGTGTTTGCTTTGGGAGGCATGGTGAATCGAAGCTGTTTGGTTTGAATGGGATTGGGGTGTGAGACTCTCGTTGAATCTGAGTGATTCCGGCAATTGAACAATTCACAGTAAAGGTGTAGGACGTTCGTGCAAAAAGCGTAGAAGTTCTGTTAGTATAATTAGCTATGACGTACAGCTGTAAACAGCCCACCTGACCTAAATAGGCTTAGCCCCAACGCGCTCATGCCACAGCCTCTCTTGCCTCATGTGGTCTCGCGCAAACTTGCCGTTCAGCCCGTTCAGCCTCGACCTCCAACGTCCAGGCAGTCGCTTCCATGACCGCGCCACTGTTTCTTCGACTTGCCTCTTCCGCGCATCATCGCATCGCTTTCACTCTTTCTCCACACTCCATCATAATTTCAACTCACCCACGGTTGTCTAACAATGCCTACCAACGGCGCGTAGCACATACACGGCAATCTCCAAAACTTGGAGACTATTATTTCCTTCATCTTTTCGATACATCTGCACGCGTATAGAAACCGCGGTCATAGCTTGTCCACGCAACCTTACTTGGGAACATCGCCCTCAACCGCCCGCTGCAATGTCTGACCCACGAAACGAGCTCATGGTTCCACCAGGAATGAGTGACCAGCTATGGCCCGAGCGCCTGGACACACCCGGACTCATCCCGCATCACCTCAAACGCTCTGCGACAGGTCAGTTCCCCATCTTAGAGGTTATCCAGCGTCTACTTTATCGACTCCGGCCAAGCGGCATCGGCGATCTTGAAAAGCTCCTCGCACTCATCGGTCTTTACCAAGCTGTTCGTCCCGCATACAAGCATCTGAAGGATTTCTTTACATGGGCCTTGACTGTCCAAGTCACCATCCCAGAGACCGATCTAGTCGCTAGAGAGGTTCTGGCGTGGATGGGCTCGGAGGTGATACTCAACAGCCACACGAGGAGTGCCATGCTGGTCACAGGAGGCACACAGGATCCCAATGACGAATTTCATCGCCGCATGATGGCGGCGCATAACCCGAGACTTGCATCCGAGAAACCGGACGACGAGGTTCTGTGCCTTCCGCCAATCGGTACACGACTATTTTGGGTCGGATTTCGACCGTATCTATTCTCACGTCGAGGTGGCGCTGGCTATCGGACCAACAGTGGTATGGCCGGTAATCTTCTCGACGATAGTGGCCAGCTTCAAAACTCCCTCACTATCATGACGCTCGGATGGAGTCTCAAACCACTCAAGCAGTTCACCGGTCTCTGTCGCGAGTTCCGACTCAACAACCTCACAGGTACCACAACGGTATACTTCGCGGGAGATCGTACAGATCCATACGGTAACGGTTGGCAGTCGGTTTCCAAAGCCATTCGAAAGCTCGACACTATAGACATGGACGAGACTACCAAATTTGATATTGTCAGAGACGCAGAATACTACTACAGCGAGGAGTCGCGGTCATTCTTTGCCGACTGTGGTATTCCATATCGGCGCGGATATCTCTTCCATGGCCCCCCGGGTACCGGCAAGAGCTCATTCAGCGCTGCATTGGCGGGCCATCTTGGCTGCGACATCTACCACATCAACCTTTCCACCGGTAGCATCAATGATGGAACACTTCACCGCTTATTCCTAGGCCTTCCACGCAAGTGCGTAGTGGTTCTGGAAGACATCGACTCTGCTGGTATCGGTCGCGAACGAACACCGCCGGCTGCCCCAACAGGAGCACAGGCGCAAGCGGATGAAAACCTGGGTGACGTCGCTGGCATTCCAGGTGGCATCGGTCCGCTGCCAAAACCTCGGGCTCGTGATTACCCGGGTGTGGGTCGTAGATCGAACACAGTCACACTAAGCGGCCTGCTGAATGCCATTGACGGAAACGCCTCTCAAGAAGGAAGACTCTTGATCATGACCTCCAACGCTCCCGATACGCTTGATGCGGCTTTGACGCGTCCCGGTCGTATCGACAAGAAGGTCTACTTCGGCAATATGGACCCTAGTGCGGGCAAGAGCATCTTCAAGCGCTTGATTGGTCGATCAGCTCTCGCTCATGATGCGGAGTTCACTATGGCGCAGATCGAGGAGTGGGCATCTGAGTTTGCTGAGAAGATGCCCACGAATACATGTAAGTACCTCACGCTTGTTGACCTCAGGATTCGTGCTAACAAGACCTGCAGTTTCCCCAGCACAAGTGCAAAACTACCTCCAAGGCTGTCGCGGCGACCCTCTCAAAGCTCTCAACGACGTTGAAGCCTGGATCGCGGAGACCAAGCTCGAAGCTGGGAAGTCGAACGGCACTCAGAACGGCACTCAGAATGGTACTCAGGACAACGCTCAAAACCACGCTCAGAACGGCGTAGGCCCGGCCATTTCAACCAAGCCCGTCCCTGATGGTAGTGAGTTAGAAGCTCTAATCCTAGCCGGGAGCACGGACTGAAACAGCATCGGAAACACTGTATTGGTTGTCCTCATGTACTGACGTTGTACCAACAGCTGCGTCCACCCCGGTTCTTCCAATGTTCTATATAATGCAGTACGACCCAGAGTGTCCAAAGTATACATGGAAACAAGGTCCGAGGATCTCACAAACAAGGGCATGGACCGTGAGTGGACCTCCTTTGAGAACATCTGGATAGACTATTGTTAGTGGCTGGTAGACTGGGATGAAGACGCTGAAAGTTCATTGTTTTGGGTACGAAGAAGTAGAGATTGGAGAGTTGTGATCGTAGCTGGGGTTAGGATGTTGTGCGCGCACTTCTTCTATCGAAGACAAACGTTCACGTATTTGGTAGTGGATGAAATGACGTCCGGATAGCCGGCAATGTCTAAGCTTTTCCATGTCGCTGCTTGTCATGTTCTAGACTTAGTGAAGCTCAAGACACTTCATCCTCCGACCAGACTCTCGGTACGAATGCACTTTTCACTCCACTTGTATCCTTGTCTGATCGACCTTCATACCGTCCACCATGCTCATGTCACCACCACGCTGTCGCAAACCTCATCCGCACCTCTTCCATCATAGAGATTAACGACGCATACCGCACGATCATGCTAGTCATGCTGTGTGATGGTGATACCCAGTCCTGAAAAGACAGTAGATCAGGATGCTGAGCTACCAGTTCGTAATGTTCTGGTCAAAACGACGAAAAGTCCAACTCCAGGTGAGCTTCGGCTTCTTCGCAGATTGGAAGAAGAATGTCGGAAATTTGACAACAACCGGCCCGCACAAGGATACCGGAACTCTGAACATAAACGACGTTCTTGATCTCGCACAAGTTCTGGTAGAGCACATCGAATGAAAGTCCTTCGAAAGGATGTTGGTCATGTTTCTCGATGCGACTCAGCAGCTTGTGGTCCCACAAGCTTTTTTGTAGGAATCCCAACATCGTCGCCGAACATCCGAAATCGCATCCTGCGTTGCCCTCGTATAGATCTTGGTTGAGCTCTTGGGCGCCAGCCAGTAGCTCTTGGATAGCTTTGCACCTCATTCTGTCCAGCTTACCCACACCTGTAGGAGTTAATACGTCCTCATAGCCAAGGTGGTTGACTTACCTTTTTCACCGCGTGGGAAAGGCAGATCCAAGAACTGTATCGGATGACACGCCTGCCTCATTGCCATAGACGCCATGGTATGGAATATCATCCCATCCTTCAACTTCACACCCAAGAACATCCACAGCATCGACTCTTCGCCGTAACATTCGGGAATCGACTGCTCCTGTAGCTGACCCTGCCACTCTTTCGTAAACAACCTCAACGCATCCTCCATTTGGTAGTAATCTGCAACCAGGAACAGCGCAACAAACAATTGCACGCTGACTTCCTTCGGTATAGCCGCGAACTGCAGATGCGCAATGTTGAGCATGATGGCAAGGGCATGCGGGTTCCACTGCTGCGCTCGTACGTGATATAGACCGTCCTCGCTATTCGGAACAGTCTCGTCGTAGTTCCGTTTGAACATTTTTTCGAAGTAAGGTGACACGATGCGCAACTGGCGCGAGGATACGAGGTAGTGGACTTCGGTGGGTTTCTGCTCCGGTTGCGCAGTCTCGTTCTCGATCATCGCTTTGGCGGCCTCTGCCTGGGCGATCCAATTGTCCACGGATTCGCTCTCGTTTTTCCACTTCGACTGCGTTGTACTCCGGTATTTGAGCTTGATTAACATGTCGCCGTTTGGGTCGATTGTTACGAGCTTTGGTTTTTCGCCCATTGTGACAAAGGCGTGCGTGGGGTAAGGTTTACGTGAACGTGTTGGTCTGGCGAATTGAAAGGGTCAAGTCGGCGTGTGAGTGTAGCGTATTGGGTAGGTGGTGAAAGACTGCGCGTTTGCTCGCCAAGCCCACTAGCTGGTATGCGCTGCTAAGAACAGAAGTGGAGGATTAGTACAGCAGTCGAGCTCACCTAAGACGTATCAGTGGGCACAGAAAACCGCATAGTAGTAGGTAGCTTCTTTTGGCTGTGCGTCATCGCAGTACGGGTGAATGGAGTGGATGGCAACCATATGTAGCTGGTTTACAGAAGAGTCATAGTAGACGGCGTCAGTATAAGTGTTCTGTGATGACAGGTTGACACCTTGATTATGAGACACATTGCACTCGGTGTGACACCAACATTCTATTCGAAGGTTAGGCTGTCTTTTGACAATCTGATCTAACTGTGAGATACGGTGTCCAAAGATCCTAGCAGTTTTGCACCTTTCTTCTTTCGGCTACCCTTCATTCGCTGTCTGGTACATGCCTGTCCAATATTATCCTGCGTCGAAATCGGCATCTCGAATGACTTCTACGAACTCTCAATTCCAGGATCAGCGGAGTTTGGAGGGATTGACATCAAGTTTGATCATCAGATCCTCATCGACCTTCTTCATAATCCCATCGAACAGATCTCCAAAGTCGCAGTCCCGACACACCCCGATGGGCTGATTCTCGTGAGTGTACATCTCGTTGTGCCAATAACTATCGACTTTCTCCTGGATTGTCATAGCTCGCACAGCATCACAGGCTCCCTGGAGCCTGGTACCGTAGTAAGGCGGTGAGATGTTATCTCCAAGGGCAGAGGTCAGTCCACCAGATCGCTGGAACAATATCAAGGTACCCAGAAGGGAAGCCCGACAAGCCGTGCTGCAACACTCTTGGCCTTCTTCAAGACGTTTGATGAGACTGCCCAGTTGGTTGACGATTGATTTGATAGCTTGCTGCCGGTGCTCTTCCAGCCTGCCTAAGATATGTTAGCTGGGTCACATACTGTGAGATAGGGCACCAAATTACCTTGAATCTCACCCAACGGGGTCGATACTCATCGCGATGAATCTGGACCGATTAGGCGATCATGATGAGCAAAAGATGAGTGGATCGCGTCGACACTGAGTAAGATCTTGGACACGATTGAGATGGTGAACGAGTATACTAAGAACATCGATCAGCATAAATTTGAAAGCAGTGAGGAATAACGAGATCAGTCAAATGCACATGAGACAAGAAACCGAGCAATGACAACCGCAACAAGCACATCGCCTATCAACTGCATGTGCTGTATTACCCCACTCGGAGGTCTGTGGATAATAAGGTATATACATGAACTACGTTTACATGATTATAATTCAGGAAGCGATACCTTCAAGTTGTATTTGCTCTCTAGTAGTGAACAGGGGCGGGGGTCGCCTTGGGCCTGACCCTGGTCTCCAAAGTGCAAGGCGTGCTGCTGGCCTTGGCACCTCCGTAGCCCTGAGCAGCAGAGGGCTTGGTGGGGCGATGAGCAGCATGGGTAGGCTTGGGGTAGGCGTGAGGCCACTTGCCAGAAGGCCTCGGGCGGCCCCAGCCATAGCCACCTTGGGGACGGTTGCCGTTGTGGAAGTAGTCTGGGCGAGGAGTGCCGGAGGGTCGTGTGTTGCTAGAGGGACGCATGCCGGTTCCGGTGGGGTAGGCTGCTGCTGAGTCTGTACCGGTAGGGCGCTGAGGAGAAGGCGACGAAGCGGTAGCGTCAAGGGGCACGCGAGTGCTTTGAGCCTTGCTTTTGGTGCAAGATGTAGAGGTTGCGGGTTTCGGTGTCGCAACGGTAGAGATAGCTGCCGAGCTTGCGCCGGTAGGCTTCTGAGGGGCAGCCGATGAACGGGTAGCGTCAAGGGGTACGCGGGTGCTCTGGGCCTTGCTCTCGGTGCAAGTCGTGGAGGTTGCAGGCTTGGATGGCTTGACGGTAGGAGGAGCTACCGGATATTCAGCAGAGCCGGTAGGCTCGACAACGGACGAGCTGGATGCGGTAGAGTAGACCGGCAAGAGGGACAGAAGAGGGACCGCGGCAGTTTCGGTGAACGCAGGTGCGATAGCAGGGTTGAACAGCTGGGACGCCGGGATGTAGATGGACTTGAAAGGGTTCGGCAGATCATTGTCGGGAAGGAATCCTGAGGGTATAGCTCCGAGGGCGGATGTAATAACAGAGACGATGGGTACTATGGGCACCAGGGACGCAATCGGGTTCGGGACGGGCGTGCCGTACCCAGCAGGCGTTGTAACGGAGGGAGCAGGCTTCGAGCCTCCAGCAGGGGCGTTGTAACTGTTATCGCCGTACTGAGCAAAGGCCGTACCGGCAAGCAGGGAAAAAAAGAAAGCAGAGTGCATCATGATGCTAGCAGATGATCAAACAAAGCGAGGAACGAATTAAAGAGCGAACGACCAGCGAACCAGGTCAGTGTGTCTGTGAGAGACGGTAAAAAGAATGTAATCGATGCGAATGATCGTGAAAGCGGTAGCAGGTCGTCGTCATGTTGGAGTTGCTCCCCTATATAACCAGGCGGGCAATGAAACAAGCCATTTCCGCTGGGGCCTGAGGCCTGGACCAAGAAGACGGCGCCAATCGAGGATCATCTCGGAAACATTTGCAGTGCACCCCAGTGCGGGGGCCGCCGCGCCTGTACAAAGGCAAGGTGAGAGCTGCGAGTGGTTGGGTTGCTGAGGCGCGGACCGTAGAATGGGTAGCGTAATTGCGGTCGTTTCGAGTTGTTTCGCCAAGATCCCGCTAGCGGTAGATCGCCGCGCCAACACGTGACGAGGTCCGGACGGGATGGTCTAGATCACCAGCTCGTCATTGCGTCAACGCGCACCATTGTCCGATTCATCATTTAGATTTGAGGACTACAGCGCTGAGTACTGACTAGCAGATACTTAACGGCCATCTCGATCTATTGTATCACGACGCCGTCTTCCGCCGCTTGATACCGATCCACATGTCCTCCCAGAATCCTACACCACCTTTGACTACAAAATTACCTTTGCGGCTTTCGTCGATCTCAATCTTGAACATCCTGAAGAATTGTAACGGAGCCTTGTACAACTCCATGAGCGCGATGTCTTTTCCAAGGCAGACTCTTGCACCATATCCGAAGCCCATGTTGTACTTATTGTACTCCTTTGCTTTTTCTTCGCTTTCGAGCCACCTTCCTGGACGGAAATCACAGGCATCTGCACCATAGATCTTCTCATCGCGGTGCACGAGCCAGGGGTTGCAGGTTATTTCGGTACCGGACGGCGCGTAGCGGCCATGCAGGTGCATCCCTGACGAACCCACAACGCGAGGGAAGATATTCGGAGCGGAGGGACAGAGACTGTATTCGTCAGTACATGGGAGTAACAGTGGAAAAGATGAGTATGGCTTACCGCATGCTTTCTTTGACGCAAGAAACGTAGTATGGACAATGCTCCAACACTTCGTCATACTGCGGCATGGGGCTCAGTTTGCCCTCCCGAGTGACGCGATCTAACTCTTCCATCAACTTCGCATATACTTGAGCATCAGAGGTAATGTACGCAATCATCGCTTGAAATGCAGTCCCCGTCGTATCAGCACCCGCGAGCAATACGAGAAGGATTTCAGCTTTGATGTAGTCCAAATCCAGCGGTGCGCCATCTTCTGTCCTTGCATCCAGGAAAGTCTGTAGCAGATCGACTCTGTCGACCTTTCCAGCTTCGATATCTTGGATTCGCTTGGCAATGAGCTTGTCACGGAAACGCATCAGCGTGCCAATACCAGAGTCGTCCTCGGGCTTCGCCACAAGATATTTCTCGCCCAACCATGTGCCTTTCGCCCATTGTGTGAACGGCCAGAGCCGAGCCATTAGACCGAAAGGAAGCAGACCATCGTGGAAGCCTTTGATCAAGCCGTCGATATCGGAGCCGCTCTCGATGAATCCGATGGGTGCGCCAAAGCCAATCTCCGATATGATGTCATATGCCATGTATACTGCCTATATAAAGTGTCAGTGCCCCTGATCGCCAGCATAACGATAGTGTGAAGCATACCCACGGCGCAAAGTCAAATCTACTGCCATCGCCAAAGACTTCCTCCAGCTTGTCAGTCCACTGCTGGATGCGATCGTCCACTAGCCCTTCCATCTTCCTGACGTTGCTGAAACTATATGGGCCAGCAGCGATCTTGCGAAAGTGGGCATGGTGCTTGTGTTCCCGCATATTGAACAAGCTCTCGGTCTTGCCGAAGCTGCCGGTAATGTAATGATTTGACTTGTTCGATTGACGGTTGTACACTTCAGGAAGCTTGGTAGCATCGGAAACCAACAGTAGGGTAGGCGTAACGCGAAGGACGGGGCCGTATTTGCGGTGTAGGGCGAGTTCGACCTCGCATTCATCAGCTTTGATGTTATGATAGGCGATCCATAGCCGTGTTACGCTGGCCCAGAAGGGACCCGGGAAGTGTCGTAGCGGGTGGAAGTATCGATAGTAAATGATCTGGTAGACACATCTTACGGTAGTATATGCCACGAGTGCTAGGAGGATATTAGATATCGTAAAGTATGAGAAGAGGTGCAGACTAGAGTCTTTCGTAGACATCATGCAGAAATTTCAGAATGCGAATACACTGGATCAACTAGAAAGCGAAACTGCGATGCCGATAATAGATATATCCGTGAAGTATCCATCGCTCCAAAGGATCGTCAAGTACCCTTACGATGTAGGACACTAACATGTCGCCCGGAGAAGCATCGCCAGCGCCTTTTGAACAATTCACACATGTGATTCGACATGAAATCATACAGCGGTCACACCCCTCTTCCACATGTTCTCCGATGGCGTGGCGGGGTAGCGAACGCTAGAATGGATGTTGTCGCGGGGTACATACGCAGGTACGGGCACCGTTTTCCGATCTACCAGCACAACGCGGGGTCGGAGGTTGCATTCCATACCACAGAAGCGACATGTTCGTGTCGTAGTTGGTGTGCGACATGAACGACCTGCTAGGTGTCATGCCAGCCAACCCAAACTAGGCTGAAGACGATAATTTCAATGGTCGGTGATAAGCTTGTAAGGACGGAAGTCCCTTTCGAGAGAAAGAATGTATGCGTCGAAGCGGACTCGAAGCCGTGTCGGCCCTGGGGAACGAACTTTGAGGCCTGGATGTTGGTGAGGTGACGCACGCAGCCAGAGCGGAAAGATGACCACTAGCGCACCGGAAGCTGGTGATTCTTTGCAGACCACGTCAATCAGGTTCTATCGAGGAGGGCAAGAAGACGATGATCTGGCTAGGATACCACTCGACGTCTTTCACTGTGTTCCATACGCTCCGAGTAGGTATGTGCTATTAGCGACGGATCGGTGCTAACTACACCAGACATATTGAGAGAACCATTCCGCATGGCTCCTTCTAATTCGGGCTCTCCAAAGGTCCTGGGCTTGGCAAGGCAGTGGTTCAAGCATTGCAGAGAATCTCATGAGAGTTGTCGCGATGATGCATCTACGATATGGTATCCGACAAGGCTGCTAGAGGTAATGCCGAACACGTCCGATCCGAGACTGATTGTTACAACAAAACAAAACCTGCAAGGTGGCTACGCCACTCTGAGCCACTGCTGGGGGTCTAAACCGATGATCAAACTACTTGGCGCAAATTACATCCAATCCCAAGAAGGAATCAATCTTCTTTCACTTCCATTGACGTTCCAACATGCTATCGCCCTTTGCAGATCGTTTGGGTTGCGGTACATATGGATAGACTCCTTGTGCATAGTACGATGATCTCTCAACTCAAGCGCTAGGGGCTGGTTGCTGACCCTTTCCAATCAGATACAAGATGATCATCCAGACTGGCAGACAGAATCAGTGCGAATGCACAAGGTCTATCGCAACTCCGCTTTAAACCTATCAGCATCGGGAGCTGAAGATGCAAGCGAGGGATTCTACTTCGACCGCGACCCAGCTGAAATCGGCCCATATCCAATGTGTCCTTCCTTCGATGGTTTCGATTGGCGGCAACGGGAGTGTCAAGGTTTAGGCCCGAGCTGGCATATCGTTCACGAAGACGACTTCGGTCGGGAACTTCAGAAGACAGCGGCCTTCAAGCGTGCATGGATCTTTCAAGAACGACAGCTCTCGAAACGGGTTTTGCACTTTGGCAAAGGGCAGATATTCTGGGAATGTCGTTCCGCTAACTACTGTGAATCATGTCCTCAAGGTCTTCCGCGTGGCCTCACAGGTTCCATTTGTACATTGCCCAAGTCCGTATATCAGCAGACGAGTGACTGCTCATCGATATCTTCAGTCATACACAATCGCCTTCCGGGGCTATCGAACCTATCGGCCGTGGTACAGATGCAGATGGTGTGGCAGGCATTGGTCACCGACTATTCGAAGGCCAATCTCACGTATCCGAGTGATAAGTTAATAGCTATATCTGGAATGGCACAAGATGTGTGGACCACGTGGCGTGGAAGAGTGAACAACAGGGTAAGATATATCGCTGGACTTTGGGACAGCCATCTACCAGAGACTTTATTGTGGAGAATCAGTGAAAAGGGGCCAGGCCCACGTCCAAAACCGTATCGAGCACCGACCTGGTCATGGGCCTCTATCGACGGCGCAGTCACATGGGAAGACCGCATATGGATCGATGCGTACAAATGCGAAACCACGATACTAGACGTCGATGTAAAGTATGCGTGGGACGAATGGGGTCAAGTCACGGGCGGACACATCGTGGCCACAGGCCCACTTTGTAAACTTCGATGGGATGAATGGAAAGGTTATATTCGCCTTGGGCCCGACCAGGGCGACGACACCCGATATAGCGTTATGCTCCATGACGACGAATCAAGATGGTGGCCAACTGATCCGTGGAGTGAAAGCGGACTCTTGTATGGACTACTTATCGTTCGCTTTCACGATGTTTCACTGCGACGCCGTTGCATGCTGGTCTTGGATCTCCTCCCCGATTCGTCCAATTCTTTCCAACGTGTTGGTATAGGTAACCCGATGTTCGGCTGCGAAGTCGGAGAGTGGTTCGATGGATGCTCGGCCCAGACGGTTGTGATTAGATGAGAGGAGAGCGTCTGTGATTGGGAATACATGATCAGCGCTTGCAAACGTAACTCAGATCTCGTAGGACGTACCATAGGAATGCAATTGATGTCGCGTTGTTTGTCATTGAAGAAGCAACTCCAACATGTCTCTGGTTTCCTGCCATGCTTTCTCGAGGGTTGCATCGTCTGCAATGAGCAAAAACTTTGCTTGCCGAGCATCCAAATGGTCGTTCAGATGAGAGAGACCTTCCAGTAGAGTATCGCTTGAGGCGTTTATATGTGATTGATGCTTCTCGAATTTGTCTTTGGCTGCTTTGATCGCGTCGCTAGTCTTCTCGAAGTTGTGAAACTGCTTGATGCTGGAAGCGAACAAGTCCTTGCTGCGCTGTATCTCTTGTTTTATCTTGGCATCAACAATGGTATTCGATCCAGTTGGCATGATATATATAAGGCTGTTCTAGTTGGGTGCGAGCTGAAGGGTTGCTGCTACAAAATTTCGTCTGATATCGTCTCGGATAGGTAGCGTACTGGAGGGCGTGCGTAGTAACAACCAGATGCCACTCCCCTCCACTCTTATACCAGACATATTCATACAGTGATTCATACGTATAACAGTCACATACAGTGTTGTGACTGTGTGGTGGCTGCGTGGTGTTGACTCTTCGCCATGTTAGTCACATTTGACTCTTCACCGCACAGCCCACTATGTCTTTCATCCCATCTTTCACCAGATGGAAGGAAGTTGGAGAAGTTGGGAGGAGGTTGAGACAGTACTGTAGCATCATGTAGGATGGTTTGGGTGACATGTATCGGGTGTATATCACTTGAACTGGGGCAGTGTCAGACGGCACTTTGGAAATGGCTGGAGAGGTTTGGGGGTAGATATGGTATGTATTTCACTCAAACATCGACCAGTATCAGAACGTACATTGAAATAACTCTAGGTGTCTCCAAAGCATAGGCTCAAGAGGTAGTTACAAGACATATATCCCCTGAAATCGATCAGTGCGAGACGGCTACATCGACCTCTGCCACGACGGAATGAAGCAACCCACCGAACCCAGGGGGTAGTTAAGCTTTCTCATAGCCTCGTAACAAGCTTCCAGAAACCCATGTGGCTATATAATTAGCCCCATGAACTCACTTAACACCGCCGCAACCTACTTGAAGTCCCACACGCTACCTCATACCCCCTCGAAGATGCTTCACACCACACGACGTATTCTCCAAAGCACTTCATGATTTGAAAGGCAATGAAAGAGATTGGGAAACGCTAGGATTATTTCTGGACTAGTGTTCGCTACACCCAGCTTCACTTCTGAAGTTCGACCAAGCCGCGAGTAGTCTGCACCGACTCTTCCTCCCACCTTACCTCCCTCTATCTCCGCACCACCATAACCATACAAATTCAACAGCGCCATGGCAGACAAGTCGCAAGTACCTCCGGTCTCTCCTGTATATGGGTAAGTAATCTGCGTATCGCAACTGGAGCTATCGCAGTCACTGACCCAATGGGTAGAGCTGCGGCCCAAGGCGAGATCGTCACCATCTTCATCGGTCCCGAGAAGAAGCGCTATAACATCCACAAGGACATCATCTGTCACCACTCCGAGTACTTTCGAACCGCATTCAATGGCCGCTGGAAGGAGTCGGACGAGGGTGTAACACTCGAGGACGTCGAAGTCGAAGTGTTCAACATCTTTGTGCACTGGCTGTACGCCCAGTCACTTCCTGTCAAAAGCCGAGACTTCGCCCACATTGCTCGTGACAAAGGTGACAAAGGTGACGAAGGATACAACGAAGTAGAACACGAGTACGGCCTCGGGCTACTCAAAGCATGCGTCTTCGGAAACCGATTCCTCGCCCCGGCGTTCGAGCGCACAACCCATAATCAGTACATTGACCACCTGGCAAAATGCGATAGTGGAGTCAGGTACGACCAGATAATCTTCGCCTGGGACAATTTCAAGGAAGACAGCGAAATCTTGACTGTCATGGTCGACAACCAATGCTTGCGATGGGAAGTGGGCGCCGACGACGCAGAGGAACAAGGGCTACGTGCCGAGCTTCCTCAGGATTTCTTGATTCGAGTTATGCTCAGGTTTGCTGCGTTTCGGGATTCTATGTATCGTACCTACAAGCATTGGATTTATCCGCTGGAAGCAGAGGCTTTCTACATGGAGGAAAAGACTGAAGAGGCTACAGAATGAAGCGCGTGACAGACGTGCGCTAGATGAGCAACGATCATGCAGTAGAAGTTGCCACATTTGCGCCTTTTGCTAGACGACTTTATATGTGAAGTAGAACGTCAATCAAATCATTGAAACCTACTGTACAGGATGGTTGCACCTGCCGTTCGTACGCCACCGCACACCTAGGTAGTCGCGCCTTCCCGAGTCGACACACCCAAACACATCATCGTGCACTCACTTCGCAAAGAAAAAAAAAAGCTCCATTCGATACTAGGGTATAAGATGAAGAAGCCAAAATACCACAAACCCACCCACCCATCCAGCCCAACCTCATGCTAACGCCATCCTCGTAGCATCCAAGAGTCACCAGTACCAGGAACCGTATTCCTTGCTGCCCTATTAATCCGAATATCGTGACACAGCCCACCCGCCAATCCTAACCCCATCAACGCCAATGTTGGTATCTCGGTTATCGTAACTTTGTACTCGTGCGCCTGTTTCATTGGGACTGACTCAGGTCTGAGCATTCCGTGTGGGTTTATCCTCGTGCTCTTCCACGATCGGGCTCGCTGGCGCCTCGTCCTCGTCGCTCGCTTCCCTCGCGTCCTTCCACTCTGAGCTCTTTCGGCTGATGCGTGCGGGACCCATGGGGTTTTCGCGAGGGCTAGCGAGCGGGCTGGTGGGCGTGGCGCGCATGCTGCTGATACTATCAGTGCGGCCGTGGCCAAGGAGCCCGCTGCGCACGCTGAGGCCGTCGGCTTGCTTGGTCGCGTAGTAGCTGTTGCGCTCGCTGGGCAGGACTGGGGCTGTGACGCCAGACGCTGAGTAGACGCTAGCGCGCTCGGCGTTCACGAAGGCGCTGACGTTGCTTGGCCTGCCGGAGGGCGAGTATATGGCGTCGGGGTTCGCTGATAGTACGCTGAGGGGCAGCGATTCGCGACTGCCGCCGTAATGCGACGACGGGGCTAGTGCGCGCATCGAGGCATTGGTATCTACGGAGTTGCGACGGCGGCGCTTCGAGGATGAGGCGAGTGTGAGGATGGACGCGTTATCGGTGAGGATGTTGTTCGCGGTGGCGCCCTGATATGAGTTGGGCTGCTGCTGCTGCGGCTGCTGGGGCGCCAGATGCGGCGGTATGGCTGACGGCGGCGGGGAGGTGGGGAACTGGTGCGAAAAGTGCACGGGCGTGGTGCTTGTGGTTGTCGCATTGTTCTGGGGTTGCGCTTGGCCGAGGTTGAGGATATTTGAGGGCGCGGTCGATTGTATGGTGGTCAGGGTGGTGGTGAGGGAGTGCTCTGAGCCGTGCGGGGACGAGAAAGTGCTGCCGCCGTTGACAAAGTTGCTGCCGCCTGTCTCCGCCTTTGATCGTGACGAGTGTACTGTCTCGGGGACTGTGGCGACCGTGGGTGCTGTTGACTTGTTGCTCTTGTCTATCGCCTGTCGCTGTCCGGCTGCGGGCTCCTCTATGGACGTATAGCTGTCGTGCGATCGTAATGTGGCCGGGGTCGTGACGGAAGAGTTATCGGCGGGTGGTACGTTGGTGTTGATGTAGCCAGACTCAGGATAGGGGTTGTTCTTTGGGGCGCCTTTCTTGACCGTGTTGCCCTTCTTGCCTGGGGCGTCGGATGAGGAGGGCTTCAGATTGGCCAGGCGCTTCATCCAACCCGCAAAGGGTCGCTTGCGCGCATGTCGGTCTTTGTATCGCGTTAGCATGGTGAGCATAATTTGGCGAGGGGAGAGCGGGCGTGGTGTAGGGAGGATATAATTTGGGTAGTTGTCTGAGACAATGGCTGTGCAAGACTAGTTCACCGTACCATGGGGTCTCGACGCAGCTTCGGCCGTAGCCATTATGCCGGCTGCCAAATATAGAGTGCCGGTGGTGAGTGAAGGAGGTCGTTGGGCTAGTTAGGCGCGGGATGCCACGTTTAGTCTGACGATCCCACGTCGAATCTACTGGAGTAATGGGGACGCGGCTGTCGGTAGCGCGGTGTGCGTCGTGAAAGCCAGCGCAGGCGGTCGGGCGCGAGAATCGGATGGCGAAGCAGCAAGTCCTATCGCTGCTATGAGTAATCCGAGGCGATTGAGGCAGTCTGGGTTACGCGGTCGGGGCCGGGAGGTTGCGCTGATGGGGAAAGAGCGAGGAGCTGCTGGTCGCTCCTGCTCATATCTCCGGCTGGACCCTGACCCTTTTCCCCAGCGCACCTGCCGCCCGCCGCGCTAAGCCGCCAGGTTCCCTTCACGACACACGATTGCGTATGTTCTGTAGATCTCCATGTTATCGCCCACCCAAACTCAACACTGATCACGGCGCGACCCCTTAACATGATCGAACACGGGTCATCAAACAACGAGGGCTGAGGGGGCGCCCGCCAGACTTATCACTACGTCATGACCCGAAACACGTCCATTGGCGCCAAACATACTATCCCCAATGCTCCCAGGCGAACTATACTGCCCCTGCCCGCCGAGGTGATCGCCCAAATCAAGTCGTCGACGGCAATTGTCTCGCTTACGGGAGTTGTGCTGGAGCTCCTGAAGAACTCCTTGGATGCGAAAGCGACCAAGGTAGAAGCCGCGATTGACTTCGCGCGCGGCGGATGCTCGGTCGAAGATGACGGTCTCGGCGTATCTCCCCTCGAGTTTCGCGAAGAAGGAGGCCTGGGCAAGCTCTACTGTATGTGCACACGCCGAAAGCCATGTAGATAGATAATTGACGGCGACAGGCACGTCCAAGTACCGTGCGACCGACCCTCTCCTTGGCCGCAATGGCACCTTCCTCGCGTCGCTCGCTGCTATGTCACTCCTGACCATCTCATCGCACCACTACCAACACCGTTCACACAACGCGATAACGTTCCACCAATCCAAGGCCGTGGAAAGGCAACTTCCGGCGTTGGCGCATCACGAGATATCAGGCAGGCATGGCACCCGCGTCACCGTGCGGAACTTGTTCGGCAATATGCCCGTGCGCGTGAAGCAACGGTCGATAATTTCAGAGCAAAGAGCCGAACACGACAGACTCTGGGACGGGTTGAAGAGGGACGTAACGGGTCTCTTGCTCAGTTGGCAGCGTCCGGTCGCTATTCGAATACGGGACGTTGACAACAGGGTGGTGCTCAGTCTCAGCATATCCGGCGTGGAAGCAGCCACAAAGAGAAAAGAAAGTGAGATTGCGAAGCCACGATCGGCACAGCTCTCATCACTCCTCAACGTATTGACCCAGGCCAACTACATCACCGTCGATGAGTGGGCGTCGTGGGTACCAGCGTCGGCTTCGACATCTGCCATCTCGATTAAGGGCGCTATATCACTAACTCCAGCACCCAGCAAGCATGTTCAGTTTATCTCGCTGGGCATACGACCGCTTTCTGCGGAGGCCGGTCACAACGAACTTTTTGATGCAGTCAATCGCCTCTTCGCATTGTCCAGCTTTGGTACTATCGAGGAAGACGCCGACATCGATGAGCAAGAGAAAATTCGACGACAGACAGACAAGCGCTTCAAGCAGGATGGTTACACAAACAGGCAACTCAAAGCACGCAAAGACGTCGACAGATATCCCATGTTTCACCTTCGCATCTCGTTGAAGGAGGCTCGCAGGAGAAGCATTTCCGAAGATCAGTTCATCGGAGATGAAGCGAACCTACAGAACGTGATGGAGGTCCTGGGTGCAATGGTAACTCAATGGTTGTCGGTTCATCACTTCAGGCCCCGGCAACCTCGCAAGAAGCGCGAACGGCCTGGTACTGCTTCTAGCCCTGCCGAGGGCTCTTTCGTCAACACACCAGCCACAGAGAGTCTAACAACCAACTTAGCTTTCCGAGGACACGATACTGGGAGCCACTCGGCAACACCGAACCAAAGGTCAACTTCGTCACAGTCTCTCAAGAGGAAGCGCCCGGAAAAGGCAGCATCACGCGAGTCGGTTAACAGGTCTGGACCTGGAGCTTTCGCAGAGTGGTCACGCATCAAGAGTGGAAAGCCCGAGTTCTTCAGCAGCACCCTGAACGTGCAGAAATTCAAGGCCGCATTCGATACTTCACGTGGCGCGAATTCCGAAGCTTTCGCCCACTTCGAAGTAGCGCCACTAGCTCAAGGTGCTCTGAGCGGACAAGAACAGCGCGACGACGTAGCGCCGCCTGCACAGAGCCTGGCGGTCGATGACAAGGAGAATGACGATACCATATTGTGGACTGATCCAACGACTAAGAAGACGCATCTACTGAACGCTAGAACAGGCTGCGTGGTCCCTGACGCTCGCACGCGGCCAAGTACCGACTCAGCTATACTCTCGAATTCGACATCCCAGAACACATCGAATAGGTCAATGCGATTACCGACACGGGCTGCGACGGCCGTGGCTGGCAAGACACCCTGGCTTGATGATGTACTAGACACGTGGGAGAACCCCGTCTTCAAGACGAGCGAGAGGCGTATACAACAAGCTGCATTGCACGCAGATGAGGCTGACTACGGACACCATCATTCAAGACATGGCTGTTCTCGCATCGATATCGACAAGGCTTTCAACCAGACTTCCACGGGTGGCTCCAGCAGATTGTCGAGAGAAGGGTTGCAGAATGCCCAAGCCATTGCGCAGGTAGACAAGAAGTTTATTCTAGTCAAGATGCAAGATTCAACACGAGTGGAAGATGCGCGCGCGGGACTCCTTGTACTAATCGATCAGCATGCAGCAGATGAGCGTGTGCAGGTTGAGTCGCTCCTTCGCCAACTTTGCAGTCCGACAACAGAAGAGACAAAATACCAGTCCAAGCTCGGCTACCAGGCGCAGGTGGCCTCTGTCGTTCTGGATAAGCCAACTCAGCTTGCAATTTCGCCGCAGGAACGAACACACTTCATAACGCATGCCGCTAGGTTCGCAGCGTGGGGTATTCTCTACGATGTCTTCCAGACAACAGCGTCTGCATCTCTTTCCAGCACCACCGACAAGGAGAAGTACGTCTTATCCGTCACAGCTCTTCCAACCGGTATATCCGGACGATGCAAAGCCGATCCCAAAGTCCTAATCTCCTTCCTTCGCTCGACAGTCTGGAAGTACGCCGAAGATCCACATCTCCCTCCTCTACCCACTGCATTCAGCTTATCCGGAAACGACTCCACGGACTGGGTCAGACGTCTAGCCACTTGCCCACCAGGCCTCGTCGATCTCATCAACTCTCGCGCGTGTCGCTCCGCTATCATGTTTAACGATGAGCTTAGTATCGATGACTGCAAGGCGTTGGTAAGGAACCTGGCGGCATGTGTGTTTCCGTTCATGTGCGCGCATGGCCGGCCTAGTATGGTGCCTCTCGTTGATCTTGGGGGTTTGGGTGAAGGAGCTGGTGGATTGGGCGGTCGCGATGCGGCAGAGAAGGAGGTTAGGTTTGTAGATGCTTGGAGGAAGTGGAAGAAATGAACAGCGATACACGCCTTTCTCTCGCCACTATACATGCTATACTGAGTCACACTTACAATCAGCTCGGATCTCATACCTCCCAACGTCGCACGAAGCGCAGTTCACGACCGTGCTGCACGCGAATGTACTGACTCACGCGCACTGACGGTACAACCAGATATGAATACGAATGCGCATACTGAAGAGTCACGGCGACGTATAAAAGCTCGCTGGGTTTGACACGCACTCACGACTACTGCAGGGCATCCTTTCTTCTAGTAATTATTTGCCTCTCGACATTTTCACAAGCGTTACATATCGCCACCGCGTTAGCCATGTCAAGCGCAAAAGGACAAGCACGGGTACAAGAAGAAGTTGCAGAGGATGCCGGACTCTGTCAAAAGCTGGATGACTTGAAGAGAGTGCTTGGAGCCCGAAATTTCCATACGGAGAAAGTCGTCGAGTACAATGCGCAGCAGTTTGCGTCGTTGACAGAAGAATTCAATACGCGCCAGTTGATGGATATGAATGGGAAATTGCATACGGTAATCCTGACTTCCCGCGAAACGCAGGACGTCTGCTTCTTTACGCCTCTCGATGTCGCCTCTTCGTCGTATGCGCGAAGTCGTACTCCGGTACTATCACCTCTATCCTATGGTCTACTTAATGACCTATCGCAACAAGCGACTGACGACTCCCAAAATGTATATGTACCTATACAACCAAATCCTCTCAAAAAAAGAGAAGTATCGTCAACACAAGAGCTCGCCTCTCGGTCTGCCGCGCGGCCGGACCACGCTGAGATACCGTCGCCCCTGACCTCATTTCCATACTTCCTGGAAAATAAGATCAACATGTATATCTGGCCTCGCCTGATTCGCGATCGATCTGATAGGCGTATCGACAGTTTGTTACAAGTGGACACAAAAGTAAACATAGCATGGAAAGAGAGCTTGGTACGCAACAACTTCTTGGGCACTTTCGACGAGAAGTGGCCAGCAGAGTTTCCAGCTGCCAACATCAACAAGGTCGTTTGCTTTGGACTCGGCGAACTGTACGGCAGCGAGGGCGAAGAGGATCCAGACAGCCTTCGTCGCGACGACCCTTGTCTGGAAAAGTACCTTATCCTTCTTGCCTTCGAACTAGTCCATTGGCTAGAACACAAGCTTCACGTGCATGTGCCAATGATCCTCGAGGATTCAAGATGCGACCAGCAAGATCGTCAGCGCATAGAAGATTTTGCAAAAGAAACGGTCACTCCGATAAGCTTTATGGATAAGTGCCAGGCCCTACTTGAAGTCGACAAAAACACCCTGGTACTGGCCCCTGGTAAACCTCATTTTGCTATCCGCTCACCCATCGCGGATCTTGCCAAGATTAAGGGAGCCCCCGCTGGCATCTTCTGCGAAACAGTCCCGATGATTACAACTACTAAACAGGAGGTTGAGTTTGGCAAGGACAATAAGACTGATCCACCTACCATGGGTGTCGCGTCTATGGTGAAAGATCACATGGAGGATGTATGTCGAATTCCTCGGTGGGGATTAACGTTCTACCTGAAACGTGCTCTACTTGAAACATGAGCAGTTGGAACAAACTATCATTGGTGTTATGATAGCTTCTCCATCGACAAGATTGAATGGAGAGGCAGGGAATATATTTCAATCAATGATATCTACACCAACATTCTTACATACACCAAATACTGTGAACTCCGTTCCTCTTTATTATTCTCGGTAAACTCGATTTAGTAGGAACCCGCAAACACAAACCAAACTTGGATGCCAGACACAGCATTATTTAGCATGAAGTCAAGGTCACGATCACCTACCCGCCTACCCCAAACACCCCCCTACAACCGACCCTCACAAAGGCCCCCTCTCAGCCCAAGACCTTATGATTCCCTCATCACTCTCCTCGTACTCCCTATATTCCATCTCCCCATTCTTCTTCAGGAACGTATTCCCCTGCACGAACTTTACCCTCCGCTCTGGCCTCGTCGCCACAACGCTTCTCCACTCCTCATATACACCTTCTACACTGGTCAAGCTCTCATAAAACGGTCGGCACGCCTCGATATCCGCTGTGCACCGCCAGATATGCAAGTTGCACATCAAGCGACCCAGTGCAGGTTTGCCGTGGCATATAATCTTGGTACTGTCAACGGTGATGTGTAGCTCGGATGTGTTCGCGTCGTGGTGGACGGTGAGAACTCCGTTGCCTTCGATGAGGAGCTGTTTGAAGATGGCGAAGTAGCCTTGGCTGTGTGCTTGGGTCCATTTCCTTGTATCTGGGTTGCAGTGTTCGAGCGAACGGAGACCTTCGACACCGAGGTGCAGATAAGAAAGGTAGACCAGGTGATCAGCCGTCAACTCAGTCTTCTCATCATATCCGAAAATCGCAAGTATGTCTTTGTTGTCGATGAGATACGCCGACATGAGTATAGCCCTACACTCTTCAACTGAATTGGCAATGTCTTCGAAGATGCTCCAATACGTTTCGTTGGGGCGGTAGCAGGAGGTCACCCCTTGGCTCGTCAAAGGGTCGATCGGCGGGTTCGTGGCGTCGAAGTTGAAGATGCCGGGGGCTGTTTCGCTGAGAAGCTTTCCAGTGCCGTGGCCGAGGAGTTCGTGGATGACTGTTGCGACGAAGCGGATAGTATGAAGGTTTTGACGGTAGAGGTCGCGGTCTGAGGAGTGGAGGTAGATAGATGCGCCGGGGGAGTTGCGATTAGCACTCATTCGGTTGGCGATGATGATGTTCTTTGAGCCGTGATTTTCGCGGATGTCGTTGTACTAAGCAAGTGAAAGTTAGTGACTAGACCATTGAGGTGTGGAAGACAATTAGGAGGACTTACGTTCGGCAGGTTTGACGCTTCCCAAACATACGGGCAGCAGAGTGTTAGCGCTGCGTCATCAGTGTTAGCATGCGTTGATGTATGGAGAGAGCCGGCACGCACCATGCACAATAGCACATTGGGGTATGACAACCACGTCCTTCTCAAACAAGCCCTTGCCTTCGTTCTCCGCCGTCGCCCAAGGTAACAAGGTACAGAACTTCGCTGCACTAGCCGCGAAGACTTCCATCTTCTTTGTTTCTTCTGGATCCGCGATACATACCACGCCTTCCCATTCCGCTCGTACGCCATGGGGGTCGCGATAGCATTCTACGAAGCCGAGGATATGTTCGACCGATGGGGTGACATCTTTGACCCAGGTTTCCTGGCCTTGTCGATATGCTCCGAGACATCCGGTTACGAGGCTGTAGATGTAGCGTTCAAGCGTTTTCACCTGTTTGTCGTTCTGTGCGTACATGCTGGCGCGATCGAGGCTGTGGTAGTTCGTAAGTCTTGATGTCAGGCCCGGAGATCTTAATGCTATCATCTATGATTGAATGTTAGGGTTGGGATTGACTTACTAAGAGCCAATATTGGACACCTGATTCCGATGATCTCCTTTTACTGATAAAATTCTCGAGCCGCCAAGTCGTCCTGCTGTGGCAAGATCGCGACTTCCTGTTTCATACGAGGCCCGGAGAACTTCGTAGACAGCGCTCCCATCTGTTGTCGTCTTTCGCACTCTGGTATTCTCAGGCTCGATGCCTGCTTCCTGCATTGTTAGTTGAATTTCTTTGATCTCTGTGCGGGTGATGCGGTCGCCCAGGTAGTAGTTCGACACAGCAGTATCGCTCGGGTATCCAATGCCCTGCGGGGTCACTGCAGTCATACTCTCGACAAGGTCTTCAGCGGCAGATTCTGCCATACCCACGCATCCCACGATCTTCTGCAGAGACTCTTTGCGAAGATCAGGCACAAACTTCTGGCCTCCCTCACCCTACACAGTCAGCACATAATCTCATTCTCTCCCACAACTGCTGGCGCTTACATAGAAGTTTCCGAGATTGTACAAGAATAGCCCAGCATAGCTCAAAAAAGCCTTGACTTCGTCGTCGGTCACCGCGCATACTTCCTTGAACTGGCTCCACTCGCCCTCGCACGCATGATAGGCCTTTATGATGAAGTCGAAGATGTCTTCCGATTCTAAAGAGGTCTGGCGCAGAATGATGCGCGCTCCATGCCAGGCTGCTTGCGAGAGATAGTGAGCGTAGAGCTTGTCACGAGGTGGGAGGCTGTCGAAGAGAGGCTTGATCGCCAGACGGTGGATTGGAGAGGCCTGGTCAGGCACTCGAGCGCAATTGGAAGCCATTGCGGAATGGTATGATGAGGTCGTGAGTAAAATACACGCAGGTGTAACGACTCTGATCCCGCGTCGCTGTGCGTTCCCATCGGCTGCAAGTGATGGAAGCAAACGCAGCTATCGATGCATTGACCCATGACATCAGGGTTGAGGCGGCATTTCGCGGTCGAGAGGGAATTTAGGTTCGCACCGTGGTCTTTCGCGGCGCACAAGAATACGTAGAGCTTGGCTCAAGCTACGTTGGTGTACGGTGACTCTTTGTACGACATTGGATGTTGGTTGTTGGACATTGATCGATCAGTGCCATATCCTCGGTTAGTGTTGGTTCTCATTTTACTTGTTTCTCCGAGTCTTTAACTCCGTTCTGGTAAAGAAATGACGCATTAGCGATGGGTCAAGCTCGTTCTCAAACTCGCAGCTACACCGTGGACAGGAAATGGGGAGATTGTCGAAGCGATCGAGCACAACACGTCAACATAGCGCGGTATTGGCGACGTTCGAGTTGCACCCAGAGAACTAGCGTAAGAGGTTATGGAACGGTCGATGGAGAACCTTCGAAGGAGCGAGATTTCAAGTAGGTTTCGTTGTCAGCAAGCCAGCAGTGATGATCTTCGATGAGTGGGTGCTCCTTGTGGACGCGCATACGTTCGGCATCCGACCAGCTTGACTAACAGCAATTGCGATGTAGGCGGAGGGTATTTTAGGGATTTCATCCAAGCATCGCTCCTTTGCGACACTATCATACAAGGAGGCGGGCATCGCTAGTTATGATGGAAGAGTGAGGCGTTCAGGTTGGGACCTCGGGAACGCGCTGAAGTTTAGCGTGGAAGATTCGCGATGGGCTAGTCTCAGTTGGGTGCAGTCACGTGATCATCATCAATCGCGTCGGCGTCGCATCGCTCCCCGCCTTCCACCTGCATGTACTCTGCTCCCCATTTATTAACGCAACTGTTCTTTCGATACTGGCGATACGAAAGCCGCATCACAGAGGTGCCGTGCCACACGATCGCCAACCGCAGCTATGACTCCCTATTACGGACGGCACGCTTATGACCATGGCGCAGATCATGACACCGCCACGGCAGGTGCAGACACCATCCAGGGAGTCCAGCAAATAAGCGAATGCATCGTTCACTACGCCCTTCCCTTTGCCGACGCTGACATCGCAAAGTCGAGTCAACATACGTCATTCACGAACTTCAATCACCCGAACATTTCAAAAGCCAAGCCTCCACTCCGCTGCGGAAGCTGAACTTCGTATGTAACAATGCATGAAGCTAAGCCCGCGAAGCGAACTCTTACTCCAACAAACGACTTGTCATAGCCGGATTGAGTAAAGATGTGCGCTGCACCCCGCGATTCGGGAGACGTTTGGCGAGGATCTATCGTTGGAGAATTGGAGGGGATGCAGCGATAAGAGCGTTGGGGGGCGTACTCAGTGCAAGGAGTTCCAGTCAACTTACAGTAAACAACATGTCGCTAAAGGAGAAGGATCTTGAAGCCGAGCGAAAGGAGCATGTCAGTGTCCATCCAAGCTCTTCTAAAATGATGCGCTGACGACAGAAGATCTCATTCGATGAGAGGAGCTATGGCGGTAGAGACGATCGTATCAACGTCGAAGATGCTATAGATCCAGCGAATGACTCCTCGGGACCAGCATCGTCACCCATCGAAAGGGATGACAAGGAAACACGTCGCATCATTCGAAAGATAGATCTCAGGCTTTTACCAACGCTCGCTGTCATATATGCCTTCGCGCTCATTGACCGCGTCAATCTTCCCAATGTATGGCATACTCTCAGTCGTCGTTGTAAGTCGTATACTGACTCAAATTCTAGGCGCGTATCGCAGGCATGGACGAGGACCTGGGTCTCTCCATCGGCTCACGCTACTCCATCCTCACCATGATCTTCTTTATACCTTATATCATCTTCCAGTTCCCTGCCAACATCATCATTCGAAAGCTCGGCCCTGCCGTATGGCTTCCCTCCCTGGTCATTTGCTGGGGCGCTGTCACGATCGGCATGGGTTTTACGAACGACTGGACACAAGCACTTGGGTGCCGGATCATACTGGGTGTGCTTGAAGCAGGCTACTACCCTGGCTGCGTCTTCCTGCTGAGCTGTTGGTATGTGAGATTCGAGGTGCAAAAGAGGTTCAGTGGTTTCTACCTACTAGCGCTGCTTGCAAGTGGTTTCTCAAACATCCTGGCTTGGGGATTGAGTGAGATGAGAGGCCTAGGAGGTCTCAATGGATGGCAATGGATCTTCGCAATCGTAAGTTAGGCCTATGTCTACGTACGTCAACTGCTGACCCATCGTAGGAGGGAGCCATCACTGTGCTTCTCGGCTTCATGGGCTACTTAACTATAATCGACTTCCCCGACAAAGCCAGTCAACCCAGCCCGATCACGAAACGCCCTTTCTTGACCCCTGCAGAGGCCAACATAGTTCTGGCCCGCATTCAACGCGACCGCGGCGATGCCATCGCGGACAAGCTCACTTGGCCGACCATCGCCAAACATCTCCGCGACTGGAAGATCTGGGAGTTCGCGTGGCTCTACTTCTTAAACAACGTCGTCGCATACAGCTGGGGATACTTCCTGCCAATCATCCTCCGCAACGACATGGGTTACTCTGTCGCCATGAGTCAGATCTTGTCTTTCCCGCCCTATGTCCTGGCTGCGGCTTGGATGTTCGGTACCGCATGGGTCGCCGATCGATACAGAATGCGTGGTGCGATCATCGTGTTTAACTGCGCATGGGCAGTCTTGGGAGTGTGTATGATGGCTTTCCTCAGCAACGCTCGCGCACGGTATGCCGGAGTCTTTCTGGGCGTCAGCGGTGCGAACGCGAATGTGCCGAGCATACTGAGTTATATGCACAACAACATCGTGGGCCAGATGAAGAGGAGTGTTGCGAGTGCGTTGTTGATTGGAGGGGGAGCTTGTGGGGGCATCGCAGCATCGAACATCTTCCGACAACAAGATGCGCCGAAGTACATGTGAGTTCCATGCATCATGATGTATGGGAATATGAAGCTGACTTGTATAGACCCGCTATGGCTGTCGTCATCGCGACCCAAGTACTGAGCATCCTGCACGTTCTGAAGAATTTTTGGGTCTACTCACGAGCTAATCGCCAGGCTGATCGCGGAGAGAGAATTCTGGAGGGCCAAGAAGGCTTCCGACAAACGCTGTAGACTTCGGGCTGTGCTCCCGCCACTATACCAGCGTACGATGAACACTACGAATATATGACGCTACGCTATGCTATGCCATGCTATCAAACTCATCAAATAGTACGCGACGTGACAGCTTTCCTCCGCAACGAAGATTCCAGATCCCGCATGCCAAACCGAGACTAACCCATCAGTCTCCGCCGCCTCCCACTGTCAACGCTAACAGTGTTGTCTGGCCCGATACTGATGCTCAGACTGCTGGTATCGTCTTCGCTTGGAGCCCTCCTCCTGTCCCTGTCCCTGTCCCTCCCGCTAACAGCCTGGCTCTTACTCCTCTCAGGTTGTATGACCAGCCATGTCGAGCCTCCACCTTCATGTTCCTGTTCCATGAGCTGCAGTTGTGGTCCTCCGCCTCTTTCATCTCCTCTTCGCATGTCCCTGTCTCCTCTTCTCACATCGGTTTCGCTTAGTCCTCGCTCGTTTCGGCCGCGCTCTCGACTGGGCTTTGCGTTCTTGGTGGGTGGCGGAGGAGGGAAGAGAGAGGGGAACTTGGCGGTTTTCAGAGGTAGTGTTGTAAGCGAAGAAGGTAGCGGGAGAGATTCGATCAGCGTCAGCTTCTCGAGTGGTATGGAGGTGAGGAGAGAAGCGGGTAGGTCGACGGGCGAGCATGCGACTATCGTGTGCCGTAGGTGCGTGTTCGATGCGAAAAACGACAAGTTTTCTGTGTCATGTTAGAGACTTCGCCGCGACTTTCCACCTCGAGCATGCGTGGATACATACCTCGCACTTTTCTTCCTGCTCCGCCTTCCTTGCCGACTCCAGTGTCGATCCAGTCGAAGCTCGTTATCCTGCCGCAGAAGCCAGTCGAGAAGGCTCGTAGCTGACCCAAGTTCCGAACCTTCTCAAGTCGTACAAGGTAGTTGGCCATACCCTCCAAGTTGGCATATATGCGGACGATGATGTCGAGTGAGTCGGCATCTTCGTACAGCTCCCGCAAGTATTCTCTTATCCGTATGTTCAGTTCGTCTGCTAATGCTTCGCCGCCTTGAGCTTTTCGTGTTATGTATTTGTCTTGGAACTGGGACGGTCAGCTGAGATGCACGACTAGAAGTGTACTACAACACATACCAGGAAGCCTTCGGCATCGGCATCTATGAGCACCATAACGAACGGCCGTTTGGACTGTGATTGTACTAGAGCCTCTTCTTTTGCCTTGGACTCTGATAGCTGGCCTTGCATCGTCCGCGTGACATCTGCGATTTCCGCTTGCAGCGTCCGCCTGACATTCTGTTCGGAGCCGAGGTCGAGTTCACACTGTGCGAGGCGTGCTTCTGTCTTTTCGAGCTTGTCGAGGAGTTCCTACTCCGTCGTCAAAATCATCGTCACTTCCAGGACGCCTCCAATAGCATACCTCGATAAGCTCGCACCTCTTCTCCTCCAGAATCCTAAACTGCGACAACCGATCGCGAAACGTCATCGGAGGTGGGGCAGGCGGGCCCGCAACAACTAATTCCGCCATCTTCAGAACTGGCAAACGTCACGCAATCACCAAAAGGCAGGAAAATTACTAAACGACAGAAGAATCTGGGGATCCTAACATTTAAGAAGACGCGTTGTTTTGGGCTCCCGCGCAGCGCTAGCTAGTTGTTTTGCATCTGCATGGCCCAAAGTACGGTGACGCCGCCGGTGCGAAAGATGGCAGGTTCTGATTGGCTGGGCATGTGGGGGAGTTGGGCTCATACGCTGCCTTGGTGTTGGAAGTCACCGGAAGCATACAGAAGGTCATGAGCTGGCGGGCTGTGTTCTGGTCACGGATGCATTCTTTGCGG